TTATAATTATTTTATTATTATTTATATTATTATTTTTATTAATCTTTTAAAGCTAAGAGTTCTAATTACTTCTTATATATAAATAATACTTTTAAAGATTATATAATAAATATTATAAGTTCTATTATTAAGTAATTATAAAAAAAGAGAATATTTTAGAAATAATATATTTTTTATAATTATTTATTAAGATATTCTAAAGAGCTAAAGCTTAATAAATATAAAAATAGAGAATATTTTAAAAATAATATAACTCTTATAATTACTAATTAAATCTTTAGAAAGAGTTAAAATACTATCTAGAGGTATTATATTAGATTAATTTTATATTTACCTTCCTTACTAGTTTATATTATATATTTAAATATAATACTAATTAGTATTAGTTTATCTTAATAATTTATTTACTTATATAAGCCTAGATCTTATAGCTAGATTATATCTTTAAGCTTAAAATATATAGATTTAATAATATAAATAATTAGAAATAATCCCTTTAATTTCTAGCTAGCTAATCTATATATTAATTATAAATATATATAGGATTATATACCTAGTTAGATAACTATAGCAGTATATACCTTATAACCCGATATTAAACTAATAATATATAAATTTTTTCCCTATTGATTAAAGCAGTTTGCTCTACCATGGGTCCGTAGTATTTCTTCACGCGTCCCTATTAATTACCTGAATTAAGGGTTGTGAATTAACATAACAAGATCATGGGGCGTTTACGACGGTATCCAGAGCTCTTAACTCCATGTCCTTTGAATGGCCAAAGAAGCTCCGTGGCGGGGACGAGCAGCACATGCAGGCGCAGCGTTGGGCTCTATCACGGTCAGACCGAGGGGCTAATGCTGCTGGAACCTTCTATCTCGATGTTATCTGACTAGCTGGAGATATCACGTCGTGCGTGAATAGCCTAGCAACCGTGAAGACCTGCCGTATCTGGCATGTCCGAGACTTCTCTAGAGCGATAGATTTTTTGTATTTGAGCCTATATAAGCTACACCTACCATATTTCTTTTTAGAGAGAGAGTGGTAGGTCTGGCTGACTTTACTCTACTAATCAGAGATAAATATTCTTTAGAGTATCAATCTTTTTTTCTGGTTTATTTGAGCCTGTGCAAAAAAGTCCTGCTTCATACTTCATACACGCTTTCATCTTCGCCTTCGTTGTGGCCTCCTGGCGCGATGCCCCAATTTATCTCTGCTAGAGCGGGATATTGAGCCAATAAGGCTGCTGGAAACACACTTTCATCTTCGCCTTCATTGTGGCCTCCTGGCGCGATGTCCCAATTTATCTCTGCTAGAGCGGGATATTGAGCCAATAAGGCTGCTGGAAATTGCCACGAGCCCTGCGGTAGGTCGGTGTCGGTCTGTTGGGAAGACTGCTCTGCAGCTGGGTCCCTGACATCAATATCCATTGCATCAGTATTCCAAGACCCCGAAGGTCTTGAGTAAAGTTGTGACGTTGAGCCGGTTAGAGAACGCTTTGCCAACTCCTCGTCGAGGAGAGGTTTTATGCATCTGCGACCAGCCTTTGTCCTGAAATGTCTCCCTAACGCCGAAGCTCTACTAAACCTCCGCGTACAGCCCCACGTTCCGCCAGCTTCAAGATCGCCTCTGCAGACGAATCGCTTCTCCCCCGAGTGGAGGCTCTCGTGTGTTTTTCTGTCATGCTGCCTCGGAAAGGCTTTACCACATATTGTGCAAACATACGGCCGTTCATTTGTGTGTGTTCTCAAGTGCGATCTCAAGTTGTATGCTCGCGTGAACCGTTTTGAACAAAGGGTGCATTGAAATCTTGCTCGGTGTTTTTGCTTGCTCATTGACGTAGGATTCGGATCCGGTACATCAGGAAAGTCATTCTCACCACTGCTAATGCCATGAATCTCAAGCATATGTTTGTCCAAATCCTTTTTGGACAGGCAGCCGAAGGTAGCCGTGGGGCAGTTGTCGAAAGTGCATGTATAGGCTCGTTCGTGGCGACTGACGTGCTGATCTCTGTTCTGTCGAGATTCGAAGCCGTCATAAAAGTGACGGCAATAGATTTTTGGACACTTGAACCACCTTTTGCCGTAATAGAGTTCCAGAGCGGTTTTCAATTCAGGTGTAAGGGCCTCCATACTCATGTTTTCTAAAATGGATCTTATGTGACTCGTTATGTCGGGAAAGTCGAGTAAGTTGGCTTCTTCGCTGTCGCATTTGTCAATCAAAAGCTGCTTTCTTGACCATACCACTGTTTGTGCCAACGAATCGTAGTTATCAAAACCATGGAGGAGACGAAGTTTGTCGTGCATAGTCTTGGATATGGTACTTTTTGGGCAGCTCTCAGAGAAATGTTGATCCAGAAACTGTTCAATTGTTTCTTGCAGCTCAGGAATGCTGCTGTTGTCAAGATTCCCGGTTGATAACCACGACATCAGGTGAGGAACCCAGCATGCCACTGCATACTCGTAGAATGAGTAACGTCCGGAAAGGAGGGCTTCTCTGGTCGATTGCGGGGTATCCCTTATGCAAAAGTCCGGAAAGTTCAGATACGCTAGACTTAGAAGACATAACTCTAGCTCGACATCCGACGCTTGTATTATCCCTCCAAGTATTAAAAACCTTCAGGACATTAGCAGTGCCTCAAATATCACACGTTTCACATACTCTCTCACTGTGCTGTGGACAAGCTCGACAGTTTCATCAGTGTGCACCTCAACAAATGACGCGCAGAGATCTTTGGAAGTATCAAGTAGTCGTCGATTTCCTTTGTTAATTGTCTCCGTGTCCAGGTCTATCGAGATACCTGCCTGGATCTCAAACCATCGGAGAGGTCGCTTAGACAAAGAGATCCAAGATAGAAGCTTCTTTGTGATGTTGCGTGTTTGCTTTTCACCCATCAACCGCCGAAGTATTCGATCGTAGCTAAAAGATCAAAGAGTTAGTGCATCTAGTTCGACAAATAAGATCTTAGGGGCGTACACTTCATTGAGGTCGGAAGGGAAAGACTCGGTTCGCCATTCTCGTAAAAGATCGTCCCTGCACGGCTGCTTGGAGAGCTCCTCGAGGACGCATTTGGCGAAGATAAAAATGCCTATATACTCCAGTCAGCCATTCTGCATGGAATATACTTGTACTTTGGCGCCCTGATTGCTGTACTCACCCTGTGACTTCGCAGTCACAATCTCGGTAAGGTTTAGGCCATGCTCCTTCAATGATCCGAACCTATCTTCAATTCTGTCTTGCCAGTGGCGACAAAACTCCATAATGTCGACTTTGTTGTGGTCGGCTGTTATGGTGATAGTGGGCAACATGGATAAATCCTTCCTCGCGATGCCGTCGTCCTGGCTAACGAAGAGACATCGAATTTCATCCTGTTTAGAAGTAGGAAGAGAGTCAACGATCGATTTGAACCAGCGACAGATCTCCTTCCGTTGGTCCCTTCCACACTCGTCTATTCCATCAAGAATAATATACGTCTTTCGGATTCCCAATGCCATCTGTAAGAGCTCTTGTGCAAGCGTTAAACTTGACAGAATGGCATGGCCACTTGAAGTGGACATCTTATGCTCAAAATGGAGAAGTAGGGATTCATCTTGGGCTAGCAACTGAGCCAAGATACTTCTGGCGATGGGCAGGAAGTCATCTCTTTCCGGATTTCCATCTGCGCAGTAGAAGAAGCCTACTGAGATGGAATTGAGTTTCATTGCTTCCTCAACGATAACGGATGTCAAAACTGATTTTCCTTGTTGAAGTCAACATACTTGGGCCGGATGGTGGTATATAACTAGCTTCTCATTTTTACCTACCTGCACCTGGCTTTCCGTTGATCCAGAGAAGCGGAGTGGAACAGTAAAGGGGATGGAACCATCGCTGGAAACGACTGTCTCCCAGTATCCAACGACATGACTGAGAATTTGATGACCTCGCCTTTACATGCCTCTCTTGAATTGCTTGAATATTCGAAGGGCATAACCACTGTTGTACGGCAGTCTTTCGTCGCCTGTTCTCCGTCTCCTTCAACTCTCGAAAGTGTGCTTCAGCAGAAACACGAAGGTTTTGCAAGGTTTCGAACTCTATCAGGGAGGCTCTTCCCTCTATGAGTTGTTTATGACGTCGCAAATTTTCCTTCAACAACGATATTTCTGAGGAAAATCCCTTCCAGTTTGACCTGAACAACTGCTTCCATACTAGGGTACGTCAGAATGACTTGACCTACACTGCAAGCTGGGGAGTCTCACACTTTTGACGAAAAAACCGAAATGCCGTCAAATGGAAGGACATGATATCCTGATAAATCAAAACCAGAAGTGATCGCATGTGCGGGTAGTTTGAGAAGAGATCTTTGTACGACTCGAGAAGAGGAATCTGCTCCCCGACCTGCTGGTAAGTATCGAGGAGAGAATCAAATGCCTCGATATAATTGGAGGCAATCTAGAACACGTCAAGATAGACTCAGAATTTGATAGCGGATAAAATTACCTGAAGAAGATACTTTATTGGCCCCTATGCTTGTTAGTGGTCCGATCTATCGCACCGCAAGGGCTAACAATCAAGAACAATCGAGCTCACCCAAACAAATGCAAGGATCTCTGATGTATTGACAAAGACCTCTATGACTTTTCCATACTCAACCATAGTTTTCAAAAAAGGATCAATTCTCCTCATGAAAACTAGCCTCTTCGTCTTTGACTGCTTTTCCTGAATCGAGCGTAGAGTTGAGAGTACATCGTTGAGGCTGCTGAATTGGAAGTTGTCACGCTCTTTTGGTGTCAGCTCTGCGTTCGCCTTGAAGCTTTCCACAATCTGGAGAAATTCAGTATCCATCTTTGGCTCACGAAGATCGCTCGGAGATGCAAGAATAGGAGAGAGTAGCAAGTGCGGGGTGTGAAGTGGTATACGCAGGCTGACATTCAATTCTGCCTTGGCCGCCTCATGCAGCCTGGTTCCCTTGGGCAGCATGACCGGTCAGGCGTATGCGGAGACACGTCTCAAGCCTGACATGCGGCCTGACCTGGGTGGCAGTGATAAAATGCTGCGCCACCGCTTACAGGCAATTGATTAATGGGTGGTGATACCTGGGCATGGTGTCAAGCTGTTAAATCATTGGTGCTTGGGAATTTCCCCTATTTACTTTTCAGCAGCTGCATAGCTCTCTCACTTACTACTACAGGCATTTGAAACAACCGTCCTTTTACGTCCTTTGGATCCCCAGCAATGGACGAGCACTCTAAGAGCGGATTCAATGACCATTCCCATAGCGCCAACCGGTTTGATCTGATCGATGCGGATAATCTTGTTCTGGACCACTGTCAATTCCAAGACACGTTTCCCCCAGATATTTCGTCCGTCAACGTCTTAGGGGATACACTTTCCACAGATCCATCGACATTGTTTGATCCTCTTGCGTTCGGCGATGAAAATCTTTTCGCGACACTGCCGGATCGAGGGACAATAGCTCAAGATCCTCTCCTTCTAAATGCACCACGAATTGTGTGTTATGGCATGGTGAGTTTAAGCACGAGAAACGTGTACAGGTATCTGAGCTGACATAACGGCAAGCTCCCCCAGGCCGAAGTCCAATTGAAATGGCCCCCTCGACAATATGAACGTGTCCCCCGAATGGCGGCGAACGGCGACACTTATGACCTCATGCACCTAAACCTGGAAGCAGATTATGGATTAATACGAACAAGTACCGACCAAGCAATAGGCGTACTGAATGATAAGTTATTCCAGGCACTACTCTCCTGTATGGCAGGTGAACATTTTCAAATTGATGTCTGGGTTCCTTCGGAGGAATGGTTTGCAAAGGAGTCTCATGCGCAGGGCTTAAGCACCAACAATCGAAAAATCGTAATATTGAAGGTCGACTTGATTCTTTTTGGACCAGACCAAGCTCGAAACAAGGTCGCGACCAGTCTCGGGGGAAGCAAGATATATCTCCAAGACCCTCACATGGGTCTGTTTCAACATCCTTACGATAATCCTCAGTCATTGGACATACCAGAATTGCCCGTTGAATTCCAGACGACGACAGAAACAACCTCTACAGGATTTATGACAGAAGATGCTAGTGAAGCAGAAGATGAGGTTGGGAGAAGTCGGGAGGGTAATTCAAGCGAACTACACAATCTCATTGCCGACATTGACTCGCTCCTCGAGGCATCTCCTGTCCATAAGCCTATTATTGCGTCAACGAAAAACGCTCGGATGATCTCTACTCTGTTCAGGTAGGATATCCCTTCTCTCATCTATCTAATCAAGCTGCTCACCCTTGGCCCAGTCATCAACAGGAGGCAGTCAATTTCATGATTGGTAGAGAATCATTGGAATTTGAACCGGCAGAGGGACTGTGGGAACGGAAGTCCCTACCTAGCTCTGAAGTCTAGTGAGTTATCTGGTTTTGATTCTATATAACGATAATTAATCAAGCACCGCACCAAAAATAGTTACCAACACACCATCACGGGCGCCAAGAGTGAATCACCCGAAGGGTTTATGGGAGGCATTCTCGCTGATGATATGGGTCTTGGCAAGACTCTGACCACGCTCACGCTGATTGTCACATCGATTGATCGCGATGGGGGATTTATTTCTCAAAGCTCCCGCCAAGTCAGGCGAGTTGCATCATCAAAAGCAAGTGTCATCATTGTACCATCCGAGTGTAAGCCGGTGTTTTATTTCCTTCTGCGAGAATCTAGTCCCTGAAAGTTGAGTCTAGTGCTATTGAATACCTGGGTGCGCGAAATCGAGAGGTTTGTTCAATCGTCGTCTTCGAATTGAGAATGTTGCAATGCTGACCATGGGGCAGACACTTCTACCCTGGGTCCTCCGATATCTCAAATACCACGGCCAAGGGAGACGAGATTTCGATAATCGGTTGAATCAGCAAGACATCATACTTACTACGTACGGCACAGTGATGGCTGAACGCCGTCGCGGCAACAGTCCCTTGCACCAAATCGACTGGTATCGACTTGTCTTGGACGAAGGTATACAAAGACGGAGTATTCTCTGCACGTTCTTGGCTGATCACTATTAGCACATACCATTAGAAACTGGTCCAGCAAGCAGTTCACTGCCGTGCACAGTATTTCTTCTCAGAGGCGCTGGTGCCTTACCGGCACACCGATTCAAAACTCGCTTGACGATCTTGGGTCGCTCGTCAAGTTCCTGAACATGCCACTCTTCAGCGAACCAGCGATATTCAGGAAATACGTAACCAAGATCCGATGCCATGAAGGTTCAACAAAAGCAGATTTCCAAAATCTTCGACTTATCCTATCTGCAATATGCCTTCGCCGAAACAAGGTAATTCTGCCGGGCCAGGAACACGAAACGGAGAATCGGCGCCCTAGCTTCACTCCTGAGGAACGAACCCAATATCGCAGCATAGAACTTGCATGTAAACGGGCTCTTGAGGTAGGTAGCAAGGGTTATGGTAACGAAAAAACTCATCATATGGTGATGGAAGCATTGCTCCGTCTGAGGATGTTCTGCAACAACGGTCTCGACGACCCCAACCGTGCCAGGGCTGCGGTGTTGAGTTCTCCCTCTCGTCCTGATGAGATACTTAGCTTCCTTCAACAGAGCGGCGAAGCCATCTGCGCACACTGTTCAGTTGATGTTCTCTCTATCGGAAGCCCATCTGATCCAGATGCGGGATCTCTGACTCCTTGCTGGCGTGTTATTTGTGGCGAATGCACGCAACAACACCGAAGTGAGCCAGGAAACGAGAAGGCCTATATTTGTTCTTTTTGCCGTGAGAAGCACAGCATAGGAACTGACCCCGAGGATGACCAGGCTCTTAGGCTGTCTGGTGAGAGGCAGTATCCATCCAAAGTCCGGGAGCTCGTTGAGGATGTTCAGGCTCACTATTTGCAAGATAAATGGTAACAGCCCATCATGGAAATTCAGAATATTATTGTCAAAGCGTGAAGCTAATCTCTGACAGTGTCATCTTTTCCTTCTGGAAGACTACACTGGACGTCGTCGGCGATGCTTTAGAGGCACGTGGTGTCAAATATCTTCGAGTAGATGGAAACGTCTCGCCAAAGAAAAGGAACACAATTCTCCTCGATTTTCAAAACAGGAGTGCTTGGAGAGTGCTCATTATGACGTTCTCCACCGGTTCTGTTGGGTAGGCGTCGAACTTCGTTAATTCAGCTTCCTTTCATTCATGGCTGACACTTTAACAGTTTAAATGGTCTAACGGTCGCAAATCGAGTTCATATTCTTGAGCCTCAATGGAATCCTGCAGTAGAGAGCCAGGCTATCGGCCGGTTCCTTCGAATTGGTCAACGGAACAAGGTGACCGTCGTGCGGTATGCGATGTTGAGGTCAATTGAAGAAGTTAGTGCCTTTGCCACGGATTATATAGAATTCGAATGTCATACTTTGAATTGGAAGGCTCACTTCATTTGCATCTAGGTTGTACAAAGTAAACAATTACGAAAGCTACAGTTGGCCGGCGGCGGATTTACTCGCCACGAGGATCGGCGAGGGCAAAGAATAAGCCAGTTACAGCAGCTCCAAGAATACTTTCATACAAGCAGTCAGTCAGAGCGAGATAGTTAGTCCTATGATGTCCTTTATTTCTTTCTTATCGAAATACCAATGAATGTGCTGGAAGACTCTGCTCGGGAGCAGTGGCGGTGATGATAATGCCTTGGATCGTTATTAGAAGGTTTCCGACAAGAGTATCTTGCCTACTATCTAACTCCCTTTCTTTGAGGTTGTTTTTGTTAAACTGGCCCTAGACGGCCCTTGACATCAAGACCAATCATGCAAGTGCTACTGGTACCTGCTAGGTTTCTTTGAGCTTGGTGCTTGAACTTTGGGTTGGATAGAAGATTAGAGTGACGCAAATTAGCTACGGAGAAGAGTAGCCATCAATGATCTGCCAGAAGCCTTTACATAAAGAAGACCTGCGTCTTGACTTCCGCAATTAGCACTAGATGATTTTTCTAGGTGTGCTTTTTAATGAAATGGCAGGTTCTTTGCCTATCAATTAAGGCTAGAATAGAAACAGACTACAGCTACTGGCGATATAGTTTGAATTTGACAGTGGACTATCACATACGACCATACCTATTCGAGAACACGCGATCCCGTCCGCTCTCGCCTAGTTAAACGGATAAGGGGCCGATTAGTAGTTGGGTCGGTGACGACCAGCGAATACCGGCTGTTGTATGTTTTTTGTTTTATTTTTGAATTTTGGTGATTGATATTGATGAGTATCTTGCCTACCGATCTCCCTTTCTCAGAGGTTGTTGTCCAACTGGTCCTGTATGACCCTTGTCGTCAGGACTAACAAAGAAGGCTACGCATGTGTCATGCAAGTGCTCTGGTCAAAGGTCTACTCGTACTCGCTAGGTTGCTTTAATCTTGGTGTTTGAACTTTGGGTTGGATAGAAGATCAGAGTGACGTTGTGGGTGTGATAGTCAGGTCAGGTACGTGGACCAAGAGGGAGGTTGGAAAAGGACCTGACGCGCGGTCCGTCCCGACGAAAGGGAGTTCTTGGCATCAAGGTTTACAGAGTTTTTCTTCTGCATAGCTGTAGCCTTCGGCCAGTAGAGCTTATTGTGACCTTTTGCTATGCATTGTGTTGAGAGGTCGGGTCTGGCCTCTTCCATTGCTGTTTTTTTGTTGCGCAGTCAAACTCTCTCACCCGCGTTGTTTATTTTGAGAGGTTGGATCCAACATCCTCTAGTACCGTTCTTTAATATGTAGTCAAACTCTCTTATCCGCGTTGACGATCATTAGAGGTTTAGTCCAACATCTTTTAGTATTGTTTTCCACCGTACGTTTGAACTCTCACACGCGTTAACGCTGGCCATATGCGATCGATCGCTCTTTGAGGAGAGGCTGCCAACCTCCCGTTTCTCTGAGCCGTGCCTGTGTTTCTCTTCACGGTGGGCTTCTAAGTTCAACCACGAGAATACAAGGTTTCTTGAACATTTCCCCGCTTCGGCGACGAAACACAGTTAGACTGATGACGTCGAAAATGAGTCGATTATCTCAAGTAGAGAGCAGTTTAAAATACCTGGGACATTCTCTCATCTCCTTCACATCCCCTCCATCTCATTCCTTCACCAACACATCACATCTTTCTTTAACATCTTTCTGTGAATCTACCGCGCCAATATGAAGCTGCAAATTGCCCTCTCTGCCGCGCTCCTCGGACTTGGAGTTATCGCAGCTCCCGCCGAGAACAATAACAACAATAACAACAACAACAATAACAATAATAACAACAACAACAACAACCAGCAGCAGAATACGCAGACTTATGTTCAAGTCCTGCTGGAACAGCCCCAGAATTGGGTTGCTGGCGCTCGGCTATTCCCAAGCAACGTGATTGCCGGCTACAATGGCGATCTTTGTGACTACACCGCCGAGGCTTGGGCGCAATTTGTGCAAACCAAGTGCAAGACCTTTGCACAGTGCACGTCCTCTCTGTCATTCTCAGGTGGGTTCCATGAATGGCCTTCTCCCAAACCAGGGACAATCCCCCAGCTAATCAGCCTGTTGTGGCGACTCTTACAGGCATCAGCTCTGGCTCCCCAAGGACCAGGCAGTGGTTCGGATATGTGTTCCAGGGAGGTGCCACCACTCAGGCGGACTACGTCCGGCTCGAGGACGTGGCGAACTCCGTGGCCTATAGCATTGCGGGCCAGTAGTAGAGCACTCGAAAGCTATGATGTGCAAAGAGGGTAATCTTACATATCATTCTCTAAAAGTACTTATAGTGTTCATCGAAAAGTTTGGTATGAGATCGAAAGGAGACAAACCCATGTCCACAACCACCAATCACGGACTTCATGCTTCTCCCCACTGGGCCTCGGCCTTCGGGAATCGTATGTTTCCGAGCTTCGTGGTTGTCCCATAGATTTCTCGCAGCAAATTTCAATTGACAGAATTCCGGTCTCAATGCCAAACCTCGTGACTGGTCTGTGACTTTATGGTGCCTCTCTTCGCAGCATTCCCTCCCTACCGCCCTCGCACAGCCATGCCGAGCCCGTCCGAGGGTCAGGCGAATGGCAGCACCATGAGGGACCAAGACAACAAGGCTGATCCCGTCAGCACTACCACCACGGCCGCTGCCGCCAACAAGAAGGATGAACCTGCCGATGGCGCTACTGCCGGTCCGGGCCTGCAGTTAGTCGTGAGCACCGACGCGGCCAACTACACGGGCATGCAGATGAAGCCGTGGCGGCGCCGCCTGGTCATGCTCTCGCTGTGCCTCACCCTGTTCCTCGGCGCGCTGGACATCACCATCATCTCCACCGCGCTGCCCACCGTCGCGAGGGAGCTGCACATCGACGCGCAGCAGTATGCCTGGGTAGGGAGCGGGTACAACCTGGCCAACACGGCGTCGATGCTGGTGTGGACCAAGGTGTCGGACATCTTTGGCCGGAAGCCCATCATCATGGCGGCTGCTTCGTTCTTCATGGTGGGCAGTGTAGTGTGTGCGCGGTCCGTCTCGAGCACGATGCTTATTGGTGGCCGGGTTATCCAGGGGTTGGGTGGAGGAGGGTCGTTCGTGCTCACGACGGTCATCATTAGCGACATCTTCCCGCTTGAGGAACGCGCCAAGTACTACGGCATGACGGGGATGGTCTGGGGTATCGCCGCCGCCATTGGTCCTATTCTTGGCGGTGTCTTCGCCCAAGCGGCGGGATGGAGATGGTGTTGTAAGTCTTCTCAGCGTGCTTCGGTTTACAAGTTGGCTAACAAACCTGCGTTTAGTTTACATCAACCTGCCGGTAGATGGAATTGCCTTGGTATTCATCTTCTTTTTCCTCAAGGTCGATATCAAGAAGATTCCCTTTGTCGAGGGTATTCGTAGTCTGGACTGGACCGGTTTCGTCCTTGTTATTGGCGGCACCATCTGCTTCTTGTACGGTCTTGAAGTCGGCGCCAGCAACCTGTCCCCCTGGGGCTCTGCCAAGGTCATCTGCCTCATCCTCTTCGGCTTCATCCTGCTCGCTCTCTTCATGGTGTGGGAAGCCACGATGGCCAAAGTCCCTATCATCCCGTTCCGCGTTTTCCAAGAGAGGAACAACATTGCCGCGTACGCGGTCGCATGCCTCCATTCGTTTGTCTTCATCTCGTTTGACTTCTTCCTTCCGCTCTACTTCCAGATGATTCTAGAATTCAAGCCAATCATCTCTGCCGTCACCCTCTTTGCACTCATTTTCCCCCTCTCGGCCGCCACCATGTCGGGAAGTGTCATCATCAGGAAGACGGGTTACTACAAGTTCCTCATTGTCGGGGGCTCAGCCATCATGTGTCTCGGAAATGGCCTCTTCATCCTCCTAGGCCCCACCGTCAACTGGCCCAAAGTCATTCTCTTCCAGATCGTCGCAGGTCTCGGCGCAGGCGGCATGTTCCAGAGCCCCATGATCGCGCTGCAGAACTATCTGCGGCAGCGCGATACGGCAATGGCCATGGCAGCGTACAGCTTTCTCCGCAATCTGTTCACGTCCATGTCTATCGTTATTGGCACGGTGTTGATGCAGAGAAGCATGAAGTCGGGGAGTTTCGTTACCAGTGGAGGCCAGGGTGGGATAGACAAGGATGAGTATATGAATGCGCTACATGTCATGTGGGCTTTCTACACGGGCGTTACCGGACTGTTGCTCATCGCAGGGTTTTTTATTCGCCAGAAGCCAGTTACAAGTCCGCCTGGTTCGGGAAGTGACGCAAAGACGAGTCCAAAAGTTGGCACGGGCGATGATGTTGAGAAAGCTGTCCAGACTGATATTCAGAATAAGGAGACTTTGGAAGCAAAGGAGGCGGCATCAGAAAAGTAAATATTATTTGAATTTATAATGTACATTAATTTTGACTGATAAAACATAGAGCCTAGATTTATCCTAAATATTAATTCTTCGCCTTTCTTTCTTTATGTTTATGTTTAATCGTCGGCTTCATTTTATGTTTAATCGTCGGCTTCATGATAGCTGATGGCGGAGATTCACTTGCAACCGCACGAAGGCTTCTTCAACTCAGAGAAGCCCCATCTCGAGCTAATGCCCAATCGACGATACTATCAGATGTCAACACGTCGCCATCTAGAATACCCTTGGCCCAGTCCAACATTCTCTCATAATTGTGGTAATGCTCTATCCACAATTGGAGCTCATGCCACATACTGAAGTCTCTCAGTTGCGCCTCAAGATCATACTTAGCAAGCACTCGATGAAAGAATTCCGTCAGCTGAGCGAATCGTTCCCTCAGCAGTCCCATTCTCTCCGCGTCGGACCGTAGAGGTACACCTCCTCCACGGACTACGCCTTTCATACAATTTTTCAACTCATCCTTATCCTCTGCCGTGAGAGTGCGGTAAGACTGTCCATTGCTGAGTGACATACGCATCAAGAAAAACCCGCGTTCGATTTTATGGACCATGTAGATGATTTTCTGAGAAAGGTGATAGCGCAAGCCCGTGATCAGACGCCGTCCCAGCGTGTCTCGGCCCTGCCTCTCTGCCGTACAATGATTGCAGAGAGCGTGCTCTGAAGAAAGTCGGCCATGAAGCTCCGGTAGGTTCAGTGGGTAATCTATGCCAGGCAAGTTCAGGACGTCGTTGGCAAAGATGAAGTCCCGCCATTCTTGCCACATTCCACAGTCGGGGCATCGGAGCATGCACATGGTCCAGCTGTAGTCAGTCCGAGAGGGATTTAACCATCGCAGCACAGGCGGCGCGGGAAGGGGCCTTTCCTTGCCCAGCGGGTCTAGGTAGCCTGGGAAATATCGCTCAATGGTATCGGCGAACAGGACCCTCCGACTCATTTGTATGGGAATAGTCATGGATTCGGTCAGGGGGTTTCGTCGACGGCCAATATGGCCAATTTGGAAGCGACACTCGTTGCATCGGCGCAGATGGCGCTTCGTACCCCAACGCATCAACTCTCGCTTCTTCTGGAAGTCTTGGAATATATTGAGAACTCCAATCGCCTCCTGAAGGTCACCTTCCCATCCACCATCATCATCAACAACGTCTGGATTGAGCTCTGACGTGTCGGTAACTGTCCGATCATCGCAGCCTTGGTTGGATTTAGGTCCACGAGGCCTGGCTCGTGAGGGATATCGGGGCAAGTCCCATGATGTGATGGGGCTATGAGCAGGAGTCCCAGGGATGGGCTTGCGGAACCTGAGCCTGAGCAGGGAGTGATTGTCAAAGTGGATGTGTGAGAGAAGCCTCATACATCCCACGCAAGCCCATCGCACGCCTACTAGGTCAATGTCCCGCACAGATGTTGCTGTTCGGGTGGTACCCCCGTGTTCAGGTATAGTTTCTAATTGGAGCAGTCGTTCTCCAAGCTCTATCTTGCCTGGGTCGATGATCCTTCGGAGATAGGAGTTCGCCTGCGCAAGCGACATGAGGCCAATTGGATCCACGAGGCGGATGACGCAGCGCAAGATCTCAACGGGTAGGGACTGTAGGCCCGTAAGCTGATTTTTTGCTTCCATGATGCATATAACCCGAGGGTATTACCCCAGGCTCTACCGTAGCTCTGGACGAAGGCGGATTCGAATTGCAGATGGAACTGGCATGACTGGGTAGATGGTGTTTCTTCCACGTTTCGCGGAGCTCAGGCAGCAGTCCTTAGTCAGGTTTCTGGTGGCTCAGAAGGGGCGACCCGCCATGTTTCACAAAGCTCCCCACTGAAGCGCGGCCCTCAGTAGCTTTGCATCTCTAAAAGCTCTTCGTTCCATTGGGTGTAACAGCGTGATCCAATAATAAAGCCAAGCCCCAAGCTTCATTTCAATACGAGGCATCGAGAAATGATGCCTAACCAAGGTCATCCCGCTGTCCAATGTGAATGTAATAGTAAAATCTTAGCTGGAGGAGGTCGCAGAGATCGAATTGGACGTAGAGTGTCGTCGATGTCATTGAAAGTGCGTTCGAAGGGAAAACTCTCCTTTAACTTTCTTTGGGCAAACTTAGCCAGGTGACATCTTTCTCAGCTAAAGTTCAATTGTTGGAATACGAGTTCAAGGAATTGGGAGGTATGAGAGGAATGCTACTATACGAGCTAGGGGCTGATGTCTTCATTTCTAATTTCAGCTCTCCTCAAAAGGGTCTCTAGATTGCCTCTTAAACATCATTGCATAGATTACAAGTGACTGTCTACTGCGGTATGTGACGCTGTTCATATTCGGGGCAACCAGTTGCGCATGACGTGAAGTGGAGTTGATGCAATCTCAGGGCAATGCAATTATCCGATATTGCGCAGCTCATGCAGACTGTCATCTTGTAGTTCGGATAAGTACGAATATCAGCCAGACTCTCCGACCTTCTACCACAGACTCAATCGGTGTGAGTCTATCGTCATTTCGGGCATCTTTATGAGCCGCAAGGCCTACCTAAATTGTTAGGGGGAATGCGGCAGGCTTCTCTCATCTGTTTATCCAGCTAAAAGGACACGGCGGGGAAAGAAATACACGAGAAAAAAACATTCTAGCTACAAGAGCGAGAAGCTCCGTAGGCTATACAAATATCAAGATCCAACTACATTGGGCTTAATTCCAGGGCATCGCGGACTCCTTCATCACGAGGGGCGGCGATTCAATCCTTCTTCAGCCTGTAGTATCGTTGCTTATGTAGATATGCAAATATACAGTAGTAGATGTGCATTTTTGAAATTCGCCAAGTTTTGTTTCTGACGTGGCTGTCAGACTCAGCCGCTCCAAAACCCCCTCAATTTTTTTCTGCCCGTCCCCCCACTTCATCTTCATTCAACTTGAACGGCAGCCTTTGCCTTCCCATACGCTGTGCTACGTATATCATGGCAGAAGCATTAGGGCTCGCTGTCAATTGTTTGACGGTCATCGATCTCACGGTGAAGGTCGCCTCGAAGCTCTATGACTATGGCAAAGATGTAGCAAACGCCCGGGATGACATCAACAGGCTCCATGACAAAGTCCTCGGCCTACAACAGATTTCACTTTCAGTACAAGCCCTCCTCGACCGTCAGGGAGATGCAAGAAATATCCCGACGATTGATTTACTAAGGCAAGGTATCTTTGGCACTGAAGAGAAACTGCAGCAGCTTCATGATGCCCTGGACATTCGAGGCGCGCGGCAACCGATGAGGATGCTTGGATTTCGTTCTTTGAAATGGCCATTCAAGAGTCAAGATGTGGAGAAAATCCATTCCGATCTTCAGGGCTGTTTTGAGATGCTCTCCCAGTCGCTGCAAGTGGATCAAACGTAGGTCGCACTACTCATCATGAATCCAAGGAGGAACTGACTCAATTTCTTCCCAGGTCCTTACTACTCGACATTGACAGAAGGTCGATTCTTGATCGTATTCCACATGCACCAGATGCCGCGTACAACTCGCGAGTGGAGGATCAGAATCCGACTTGCCACCCTGAAACCCGCTCTGGTATTCTTTTTGATATTCATAAATGGATTGATGACCCTCATGCAAAGAGCATATTCTGGCTCAACGGCATGGCGGGGACTGGAAAGTCCACTATATCTCGGACAGTCGCTAGATCTCTCGCTCAAAGAGGTTCTCTTGCTGCTAGTTTCTTCTTCAAGAGAGGTGAGAGCAACCGAGGTGACAGTGCCCTATTCTTCAGCACTCTCGCCTTTCAGCTTGTATCAAGTGTACCAGGATATGGACAAGTTCTCAAAGAAATCCTGGATGAAAACCCACGCTTGATGAATAAATCGTTGCAGGATCAGTTTAACCAGTTACTGGTTGAACCGCTATCCTTGGCATCCAAACATACGCAAAATACGGCACCATTCATTCTCGTTGTTGATGCTTTGGATGAGTGCGGTGATGATAATGATATTCGCATGATTATCCACCTTCTATCGAGCACAGATGTGTCATCTAACGGTTCTTGGCGTGTAAGAACCTTCCTCACCAGCCGACCGGAATTGCCCATCCGCCTTGGATTTGGTGCTGTTCGCGGTACATTTCAAGATCTTATCCTTCATGATATTCCCAGTTATATTATAGAAAGGGATATTTCAGTCTTCCTACGTTATGAGCTGGAGAATATTAGATTCAACTATAACCTCACTGTCCCTCAGCATCGACAATTGCCCCTCGACTGGCCCGGCGAGGCAAGCATTGAGCACATTACGGACATGGCTTCACCATTATTCATTGCAGCTGCCACCGTTTGTCGATTCATCTCAGATCGAAGGATTGGTAGCCCAGAAGAACAACTGGCCAAGATTGTGAATTCAAGCGGAAATGAAGTATCGAAATTAGAAGGCATTTATCTGCCAATCCTGCGTCAGACCTTAGTCGGGCTTTCGGTTGCTGAACATGAGATAGCACTCTCTGACTTTCGCTCTATCCTTGGAACTATTGCTATTGCATACACTCCGTTATCAGCCAGAGGGCTAGCCAATATTCTGCAATTGCCGGAACGGAAAGTAGAGAGCCGGCTTGACCTTCTCCATTCTTGCCTTAATGTTCCCTCGGAACCTGAACTTCCTGTCCGCATTCTCCACTTATCCTTTCGAGACTTCCTGGTCGACCCATCTCGGAAGGACCAAAGCATATTCTGGATAAACCAACAAGTAACACATTTTCAGATTGCAGAACGGTGTCTGGACATCATGGATCGCCTACTACAGCGGGACATTTGTGGAACTGGCCGCAATGAGAGCCGTGCTGATCTCAACGACTTTCAGAAAGAACGTATGGTACCTAATGAGCTTGAATACTCCTGTCTCTATTGGGTAGACCACCTTATTGAAGCCAGAGAGCCTTTGAGAGATGAACACCCAGTTCATTGTTTTTTGAGAACTCATCTGCTTCACTGGATTGAAGCTTATTGCATTCTTGCCAACACATCTAGCTTATTATCAATGATACAGGGACTTATCGACTTAGTGGAGGTAAGTGATGATGCGGCATACGTTTCCCATCTGCGAGGTTGCTAAGTCGAATTTTAAAGTCACCCGATGCAGAGGCTATTAAAAGCTTTCTCGAAGATACTTTTCGGATTGTCAGCACGAATTTGAGCATGATTCGAAAATACCCGCTCCAAGTGTATTCTTCAATGCTTCTCTTTGCACCTACCAACAGTATAATTCGAAACACCTTTGCCTCCGACATGCCGGGCTGTGTCAGTATCAAAACGAAACTTAACTCAGATTGGGATCCGCTTCTTATGACATTTGAATACGAATGGAAATCTGGCAAGATACAAATGCTTTCATGGTCCCATGATAATGCATTTCTTGCTGCTATTTTTCCGTGGGGGAGGATACAGGTCTGGGATGTTATGTCTGGACAAGAACACCTCAGCGTGTACACGCATGGCAAAACGAGGCTAGAGTTTTCTCACACATCGGAATTTCTGGCAGCATCTGGAGAGACAGAGATTGAGCTATTTAGAAGGGCTACTGGAGAAGCGGTCCAGACGATCGGCAATTTCGGATGCTGGGGATTCGCTAAAGATGCACCACTTCTCGCTACTACTTCCGAGGATGGTGATATCATACTCTGGAAAGTCGTTTTGAGCGCTCATGGGTCTCCATTTCTGCCACTAAAAGTCTTGAGTGCTTCTAAAATAACTGTTTCTTGGATGAACGTCTATGAGGAAGGATTAACAGTCGCTTCCACATATCAAGACCACCAAGTCACGTTATGGCGTTTCACCGCTGACGCGAATGTTCCTAACGGTGACTCAACACAGCCGACATGCTTGGGCTCCATTTCCAGTCCGAAATCCTTCTTCAGGAACAAGTATGCGAAGGTTATGCTCTCCCCTAACTCGCAGTTAATCGCCTTCATAACACCCGGATCTCTCTTGGCCTATAAAGTTGAAATTTGCTGTGCCACAAACGGGACACTTCTCCAGACTTTTGAAAGCGACGACGCTATCCAGAGCACTATTATATTTTCGTCAGACTCCCAATTTATTGCAAGAGATTCGGGGAAAGGGACTGTGGAGGTCAGGCCCAGAGCTGGCGGGACATCTATAATGAGCCTAAGCCATCGAGGAGCCACATCTGCTGCATTTTCTCATGACTCCAACAAATTGGCGGTAGCATGGCGTGGTTCAGTGCAAATATCATCCATCTCGCAAGCAAGGTTGACTAAGCGAACACAAATTGAAAGGCGCCTAAAGCCTATCAACTGCATAGAGCTTTCGCCAGACTCCTCAGTTCTCGCTATAGGAACAAGCGACGAGGAGATTGAACTCTGGGACACAAGCACCGGAGTTCATAGGCAAACGTTGCGCGTAAAATCAAGCACATATCGCTTTTTAGCATTCTCCCCAGACTCACAGATGCTGGCGTGTTGGGATGAACAAGAGATAAAAGTCTGGAAGGTCGACACAGGGGAATGCATGATGCAAAGCCGCGTTGGCCTGGGACTGGTTCGCGGAACAGTCATTTACCACCAGCAGTGGCGACTGAATCTAGTGCCTGGGTTCCCCAGTCTTGATCCAGAATCTCCCTTCCCGGACGATATATACCACGAGTTCGGAATAAGGCATCTCAGCACCTTTCAAAACTACGGTCTTCTTTTTGGCAATCTGGAATATGTAGCCGATACAAAAGATTTAATGATTTACCTCGGAACAAAATCAGGCACCTGGAAGGCTATCGTTCTGCGTCATTCCGATGGAAGATGGATACGACGGGGGCATCAATTAGAGACTCGAGAACCACACACAGCAAAAATAAGTAAGAACGGCGAGATTTTGATTGTGTTATCCTCGGACAAGCAAATAATCGTTCAGGATCTTTCCAGGGGCCAGATTCTACTCGACTCTTTCCTACCTTTACCTGGAAAATTTAGAGGTGCCATACCAGACATACAAGAGATGAGGATTACTTCACGGGATTGCTCCTGCCCAAAATTCGTGCTTGGATTCGCCCTTCTTAAGACATCTTCCCATTGGCGTACTGTCGACACATGCCTGTGCAATGCACAAAATAACGTGCTCCGAATTTACGACTTGCTGGATCAATTTACTCCTTACGTGATAACAGAAAAAAGTTCGCTCGACTCTGGATCGTATAGACTTGGAACTGACGACTGGCTATTAATGAATTCCAAGTTTTTGCTCAACTTTCCTCCCAACCGTCGCGTAAAGAAAATCCCTGTGATCGGAGCCTTGGTTTCCGTATCCGGTCACCTTGTGGCAATCGCAACGACATCTAATGAAGTTCTTTGTATTCAAACTTCATCTGACGAGCTCTAGGGTCTAAGAATGTGGACTAGGGAACGGACGGGAGGCGCATCGTTGGATACTTGGAAAGTTACTGCACATGTGTCCTGTGTAAAGGTAATTCTACACGCATTCAGGCACACCAAAGCTTTCCGGTTGGAACAGATCTTGAAGCGAGTATAGTCGGTTATTATATTTAACGCTGAATAATGGATCCAGATAATTCATTTTAAAGATCAAGCGGCTAATTCATCCAAGGGTCGGTTAACAACGCTGGGTGGGAATATTGGCCTGAAGGATAAGCCGACAGCTTTGGCTCACCGCCAGCCTCGTCAATCTAGTGAGATGACGAGAAAGTGAGGCGTGCTGACATACAAATCATGGACCCTGAAAAAGATAGGCTGATTCTTGAGGAGTTCCAGGAATATATGTATTGGATGCTAAAATGCAGGACTTATGTATGACAGCACAAAGTAGCCAATCAAGGGGGCAAATGACCTGTGGGAGCTAAACTGGAAATGGACTAGACTGCTGGGCTTTCTGTATCCAAAATTGGAAGATTTGATTTCTGTGTCATGAATTCAATTAATCAACTGCAGTTCCAGCAGAACTTGCCACCCATCCGCTTCCCTTGCATTCTGCTCCTTTCCGTTCTCACTCTATCTCATACACGCGAATGCTCTTGCAATAATGTTCTGCGACTAGTCCAACTACTGCAACATGACCGTCATTCGTAAAGCGTGCCGCAACTGCAACCGCTCCAAAAGGAAGTGTAACATCCAACTGCCAAGTTGCCATCGCTGTGTTCAAAAAGGACTCGACTGTGTATACGATCTTGACCATCTGAATACAACCAATCATTATTCAGGAAAGACGTCCGATTTCTGGCTCCAGCTCAAAGACCACGACAGACTCGGCCACTGTCTGCTGAGAATGTCGCAGTCGTGCGCTCCCGGCATAGATCCTCACATCGGATATCCCGGGAAGAAGGAGCCCTATGAATACATCCGGCTGGGCTACGCATCTATCCCGGAGATCGTCAAGGAGAAAAAGCCCGCCATCTTCATTCACCCAAAGTTGCAGCTACATAGTACCCACGCGAAGCATCTGGCTGGTTTCATAAGATCTGGTGTGGGCGATGTGACCTTCCAGGACTTCACGCGCCTAGCTCAAATTGACATCGCCGCTATACCCCTTGAAGAAGCCTTGACTGCCTGCCAAGCCTTAATTATATATCTGGCAATGTACATTTTCTCCCCTGAAGAGTCGGAGCGGAAAGGAGCAGAAGATTCTCTTGATGTGCTCTCCAAGTGGACAAATAATCTCTATACAAGCGCTCTGACATGCCAGCCACACGGCCGGTCTCCATGGCAGCAGTGGCTCTTCTGCGAAAGCGTACGGCGTACCATTGTGTCGTCGTACGCCTTTTTCATGCTGTTAGATAACTACAGGCTCGGGTACTGTACCAACTGGCTCTTCCTTGAATCTCTCCCGTTCGACCAGCGCCCCGGCCTTTGGATGGCGAGCTCGGCCCAAGCATGGATCGCTGCGGCGGGTGCGAGAACAGGCCCTGATGTTGGCGAGAGGCTGAGCTCTGTCCACGAATTTGCGGAGAGCCATGCGGGTTCCGACCCTGGATTTTGCGGCGACATATTCATGATCATGCTTGCAATCAGTCATAACGGGTATAAAAGAACAGGGGCATAGACACAGCTTGCGGGAGCTAAGCTAGGTGTGGGAAGCGATGGGAGATCCGGCGATGGACCCGTGATCTGACAGTCGAGGTTTGCCCTCAAGACCCAGCGGGGTCTAGACTGCTTTGGGCATGTGCAGCAAATGAATATTGGCCTGATGCACTTCACAATACTCACCAGACGTGCCATTTGCCTCATGTCCGTCATTGCATTCGCCCCATAGTCCGGCTTGCATTTATCAGCATCCCAATACGCAGTAGCTCCCACTATGTCTAGGCAACAGATCTATTATCAGTTAGTCTCCTGGGGATATAAAAGCAAGCACACACCTCACAACAACTTATCAGTCTTTAACACAAGCCATCACCACATTTACATTTCTATCTCCATCTGAACTCTCTCACATCTCGTGACAACTCACTCTAACCAATATGTCCTCGGAAAAGCCTCTTCTCGTGGTGTGTGGTGCCACTGGTACCCAGGGAGGTTCAGTCGTCTCGCACTTCCTCTCCAAGTCACCATGCCCATACAAAATTCGTGGCCTCACCCGGAACCCATCCTCGCCGAAATCTCTCGCTCTAGCCTCGAAAGGAGTTGAGATGGTGGCGGCCAACTTCGCTGATCCCGCCTCACTAGATGCCGCTTTCGCTGGCGCGTCCTACATTTACGGTACCAATGACTTCTGGGTGTTCTATGAGGACCCAGCGAGCAAAGAGAAGGCCAAAGCCGCTGGCAAGTCCCTCATGATTCTAAGTAAAGAGAATGATACCTTCGAGAACAAGAACATAATCGACGCGGCTGCCAAGGTCAGCACCCTCCAGAGGCTCGTCTTGAGCAGCCAGGCCTACACTGAGAAGGTCAGCGGTGGAAAGATTTCCAACTGCCACCATTTCGACGGCAAGGCCATCGCCGAAGAGTACCTTCGCTCAGACCAACCGAAGCTTTGGGAGAAGACGAACGTGATCTTTTGTGGATTTTACTTGGAGAACCTCGTCAGAGCGGTCGGTGAAATGATGAGACCGAAACTGGTATGTGCATTTGTCCTTTCCAACACTTGTTTCTGACAGGCTATTCTCTAACACTAAACTTTTTTTTTTTTCATCAGACCGAAGAGGGCCTTGTTCTACATATGGACGACGCTGTGGCCTCAGCTCCCTTTCCTTATTACTCTGCTGTCAACGACACAGGCCCACTCGTCGAAGCTCTCATCCGCGCTCCGCCAAGCAACAGAGTGATCGGCGTCAACGAATGGTTGAACTTGAAAGAGCTAGCAGTATTGATTGGTGAGACTATGGGGAAGAAGGTTGAATTCGTGAATGAGAACCCGGTGTTTGACATGGGAGGAGACGTAGAAAGAATGCAGGATAACCTGGAGATGCTGATGTTCGGTGTCGAATTTGGGTATGATGGCGGCAAAGTGGACAAGACTGTCGTTAAGCCATCGGAATTGGGAGTTCCTCTGGCCTTACGTTCGGTGAAAGATTGGGTCAAGGATCAAGACTGGGCCAGTGTGTATGGGATCAAAGATGGCCTCTCCGCCTAAAGACGACCAGCATGAAGTAAGATCACCACTCAACTTCAAACACTTGTCAAATCAATGACTCGCTCTTTGGAGCGATATCAATTTTCGAGAATGAACTCCACCACTATCCAAGAAGAGTTTCTAACTTCATGTCCCACATAACATCTACCCAGTGAACCATGGTGATGTTTTGAACTGTGCTCCCCTGCTTCCGCTCGGCCAAAATGTCAGCTTTTAGCCATACATGCTCAATAATCTTTATTCCGCGATCGACCGAGTCCAGCCCAACGTAGCGGTCCAACATCTTCAGTCTCTCAATCACCACCGTTCTCCAATGCAAAACAACAGCTTTGTTGCTAAATAAGGCGGCGACTCCCTGATAGACGTTTCCTGTTTCCGGGAGAATGCTCGTTTCCTCTTCATTAAGATACTGCAGAGCGCTTCCAGCAATTATCAGAGCTGGCAATTGAATGGCTCTTGTACCCGAGGTTTCCGGTAGTGAAGATAAAAGGGACAAAATATTAATGGCAAGGGCGACCAGCGCCCCAAACCTGCGGCTTGGTGATTCTGTAGTAGATACGGCGATTGGTATGCCCCCTGCATCACATAAGATATCTTTTCCATCCTCCACTAATTCAGGAAATACTCGGTATAATTCCAGAATAATAGACAGTTGATATATCTGGGCAATAGTCTGAAAATGCTGCAATGGCGTCTGAGTGTCACACGTTTCTTCGAACTGTTCAGTTGGTGGTATTTTGTATCGTTGAACATTTCCGATGACAGCCTTTGCACTCCTCAAAAGCGCAGCTCTAAATGTTCGTTTGGTATCGTCTGAAGATGGCTCCGTGCGAATGCGGTGCACCAGACGTTCTTGGCGAGTGATAGATCCGACTTGGGCCATGTATATAAATAACGGCATACTGATGCCCGTCCATGGATGTGGTTGTGAGCCTTGAGATTGTACCCAATCGCAGAAGGGAAAGAGATAATCAACTGCCGATGGCTCTTGGTCAATATGGAAAGAGGAAATGGCTTCCCAATAGGCTACAATTCCAATCATGAACCTGATTGTTGGAGAAGAACGACATCCATCCGTAGTAAAAGAGCGCTCGGGAGCAGAATCACTATTCAGTGTCAATTGCTTTAACAGAGCACGTGCCCCGAAAAGAAATGAAGTGTCGGTCGATGAAGCATCGTGCCATGACTGCATGCCATCTTGTTAGTTCCCTGACGAGAGAAAATATGGAGTAATAATACCTACAGAGGTTGTTCCAAGCAAGATAGTACCCAACAGGGCAGTTATAAAATCCGGTTCAGACCCAGATTGATTCTTACTGGATGGCTCCGAAATTTCTGAAGATAGGGCAGATATCGCCGTCGTGCGATGCTGGAGTGCCTCTGTTGATGAAACATTCTGTCGCTGGTAGAGGTGAGCAGCGGACATAGAAAGCATGCAGTTCAGTATTAGGGGATGAGTCCAGATCATGCTAGCTACTACCATGCGAAAGGGATTCTGAGGCGAGTCGAAACCGGAGTTGATAACGCAGACAAGAGAGAAATAATAGCTAGCGAGGTAATCTTCTCTTGAGGTGATCGATGATAGCGAGTAAGACGGTGGACTGATTCCATGTATGAGTTCATTTTCAGGGTTTGGTTCACAAGTTTCAACGTCGATATCGAAAGATTGGGTGTAGTCGGTTGAATCAGAAGAATGGCCGAGAGATGTCGTCGTGGGAAGCTCGGCACCATACTGCTCGCCTACCCATCCCAACCAACCCATGGTGTCGTCAGGTGGGACTAATTCTGATGTTGCGTTTATCTCAGAAAGTCCTGTTCCAAATATACCATGCTCTTGATTTAATATGCTCCCTACAGGCTCGCTCACGATACTGCCAGGCGACGAGGATACCGTCTCCGTGTCACGAGACGCGGCCTCAGCCACCAATGCAGCATGGAGTCGTGATGCTTCCTCTTCGAAAACGTTCCAGAAGGGTTCCATGCTATCTCCCGCTGCCGGATTTCGAATTCGACTTCGGAGAACCTCGTGCTTTCCTGACCATTTAACCGACCTGCGGTATCCCGGGCAATTGGCGCCACCTCGGAGGCAATTCAAACAATTGGGCACTGTCTCGTCGCATTTGACACGCTAAAAGATCCTGTGAGCAGTTGCTGTCGTCCAACCGCAGAAGAGCACATACCCTTTGCTTGCATCGAGCACAGCCCGCTGACACCACGGCAGTTAGCGCAACTCAGAGAGCCATATGCCAAGAGCCTGAGAATGTGAGACTTACAGCGAGATTTCAGTTTGCTTTTGGCGGTTGACATTCTGGCTGGGTTGGAGGTGTCAGTATCCTTCGTGACGGAAAGGTGAGGAGTTGGGCCCATCGGGTGGTGATCACTCTTAGCCTCGGAACGTCGGAAAGAGGCCGAGACTTCTCCTGATAAGAGAAGCGGGCCATTGACTACGAATCGGCCTAAACCCCAGAGTTCTCCTGATAAGCCAGCGGGCTAGCAAACCCCAGACCCCTCCCGTACGAGTCAAGGCATGAACCTTGTTGCAAGCTACCTAATGGTTGCTGCTTTCGGGCTACAAATACAGCTTGGTGCCACTTAGGCCTGATTCCTTGCTCTGGAATACTCTCTCCGTGTTGCTCACATTGATGCGGAAGCGGCAGGCTTGCACATACGTAATCACTGCCATTGACGTGCTGATATTCAATTTCCAACTGTATTTGCCGATATGAGTACTGTACATGTCATGCCTAACATCTTTCCCATGTGGATTATGTTGCTGCCGAACACGGACTATAGCAACCCACCAGTCCCTCCGGCGTGACAATTGCATGAACACGACAAGATCCATTACAATCTCGATGGCTTCGCTGGCTGAGAAAGTATTGCGGCTGAATTGGCTTCCGCAAGAATCGTGGCGTAGGATCCGAAGCTCATGCGAACCATCCGCTGTGGCTTTGGATCCCAGCAGAAAAAGCGCCCCGTAGATCGCATCTTCTCGAGGTCGACCACCACCACTGACTCCACAGGCATGATGGTCTCGGTCCAAAACAGAAGATACAGAGATTCTCCTAGCTTCAGCATCTTGCACTCCTCGGCATCAGCCAAACCCTTTTCTGTTCCAGCCAAGCAGTGCCAGGCCAAAGTCCCCTGGTTCAAGTAAACATGCTCATAAGCATCCCGAGGGGTATAGCGGTACAAGATGTGCTTGCCGATCAACTCGTCTGTAGGCTGATAGACCTCCACGGGGGTGTTGCCTCTCACGGTGGCATTCGTGAACTTGGTCCACGTTCTTCGCTCCCCGGCGACGCCAGTAAACCCGGAGACCCCTACCACCGCCTGACCAGTGATGATGTCAAGAACCAGGCTCACTTGTTCTTCATACGCTGGTTTGTAGAAGTCTATGAAAAAGACATTGGGGCGTACTTCGAATGCGTCGTATTCCGCGTCGCCCTTCAGGCCCGTGTGGTCAGGCTGATCTCCCCCATCCACGATCTGCCATGTGAGATTCTTGTCGTCGGAGAATGAGTGAGAAATGCGATATCCGTTATCAAACGCATGCTCGAATGATTTTCCAGCCAGTTTATTGGATTTCTCCATGCGGTGCTCGCCATAACCAACGGCAAGCTCCTCTAGAGTCGGCCAGTCTGAAACTGGAACAAAGCCTGGAGTTCCCGCACTTGCGCTCATGTTGAAAAGAAGAAATAATAGTTCCCGATGAAGCAAATATATATTAGGATCTTCGTGGTGGCTGAGGCTGACTGATATCAAGAAAGTGATGATGATAAGTAGTCATGTTTATTGTCCACGAGAACCCAATCTTTATCTACTCAGCTGTCAACAATGATCGAGACACAATTCGGTAGCAACCTTGACGAGATTCACGGAACGCCGAACAACCCCTCCACCAGACTCGCGGTAAATCTCCCCAAGAAGTTTAGAATCATCAAAATGGGACCCAAGCCGAAACCTCCGTTCTCCACCTCGGTCTCTTCCTCCCAAAGAGGCACAGCGCAGGAGTGTGGTTGTGTGGATGCATCACGATTTGCATCTCCACCTCGCACTTTCTACCCGGAATCAGTTTAGTGTTTCCCTCCACAAGCCTCTGCTGCCGCGATTAGTATAGCCTACCCTCAGTTCGTCAACTGGCTAATACATGGTGTAGGATCTTTGGGTAAGCTCGATATTGACCATCGCATCGTGTGTATGTCCCTGGATGCTGTGTTGGAAGTATCATCCTATAGAACTCAGTCCTGTTCTGATATCGACGACATGGGTAGAGTCAATGTCGTCAATCAAGGAGATAGGACATAAGTCTAACAGAGATGCCTGGGGTTTTATAAATGAGTCCAGCCCCCGTCAAAATCCTCGAATCCGTAAACGCAGACAAACAAACATTAGCAATGAATGACGACTCATTAATCATGAAGGGTGATGACCTCAAGAAGACGGCCTCTCGTTCTGAGGTTAGGAATGGATCCATCCGGCAGAACCTCTCGGATGAAGAACGCCTAGGCCAGCTTGGGCATCAACAGGAGCTTCGCCGAACATTCTCCCTCCCGGCTCTCGGTGCACTATGTCTCTGTTTGATGGCGACATGGGAAGCACTCTCTACAGTAATCGCTCCCGCTTTGATCAGTGGCGGCCCTCCGTGCTTATTTTACAATTAGTATGTTCATGCAGTCGATCAATGATGAGAGCTTAGAACATGAAAGGAATAACAGCTGACTGCTCAGTGTTCTGTCGTTTGTCTGCACTATCTGCATCGCTGTTTCCCTTGCAGAGATTGCCTCAATCTATCCTACGGCTGGGGGTATGTGGTTCATAGAGACCCCATAGTAATCTTGCAACACTGATGTCTCTTCGCCACAGGTCAATATCATTGGGTAGCAGCGCTATGTCCAACCCCGAGAAAGGCTGCAGCGGCTTGGGCCACTGGATGGATCTCAGTTGGCGGCCAAATCCTACTGACTGCCTCCTCTGCCTTTGCCGCTGGGCTCCAAACCCAAGCCTTAATCACATTGAACGATGAAACATATGTTCCCTCTCGATGGCAAGGGATGCTCTTCTACTGGGCGATACTGGTATATGCTGGGCTCTTGAATGTATGGGGCAGCAAATTGATGCCTCATTTCAACCTGGTTTCAGGTGAGTATTTGCCCATCAGGCCGTGAATCTACTGCTAATACTTAATTAGGGGTGATTCATATTGGCGCCTTCGTTGGTATTATAATAACCCTGGGAGTCATGGCACCGAAGAACACCTCCAGTTTTGTGTTTGCCGAATTCGAGAACAACAGCGGTTGGGGAAGCGATGGGGTTTCTTGGCTTGTCGGGATGCAGAGTACCGTTTATCCATTCCTTGGGTATGTTACTTGATTCCAGATACACAGAGAGCGAGGCATACTAACCAACTATCGCAAGCTACGACGCAGCATGTCACCTTGCGGAAGAGTTGCCTCACGCGAGTCGCAACGTTCCACTGGCTCTAGTCGGCGGCGTCGTTGTCAATGGCCTAATAGGCCTTGTCTATTGCATCGTTCTGCTCTACTCCACCAGCTCACTCGAATCGCTACTGCAGACTCCAACGGGGTATCCCTTCATGCAAATCTATCTGGATGCCACTCAATCGAGGGTCAGTGCGACAGTCATGTCTCTCACACTGATTATTGTTGCTACGGCCGCCACTGTAGCTGGCGTAGCATCGACTTCTCGCACGCTTTGGGCTTTTGCTCGAGACAGAGCCACTCCTTTTGACGCGTACCTAAGTGTTGTCGGCAAAAGGCTTCAGGTGCCCCTCAGATCTGTGATCCTCGTGATCTTGCTGCAAGTTCTTCTCGGTCTCATTTATCTGGGGAATGCGACGGCGTTTAACGCGGTTCTCTCCATGGCTATTATCGGTCTATACCTTTCATATCTCTCGCCAATCTTCTTCATGGTTGTCTTCGGCCGCTCCCAGCTACGTCTTGAAGACTTCGGACCATTTCGAATGCCAAGGGCTTTGGGCATCATCGCGAATATTATCAGCTTAGTATGGATGATCGTCGTTATGATCTTTAGCACGTTTCCACTGACTCTGCCTGTGACGGCGCAAAACATGAATTACTCCATCGTCGTTGTGGCTGGGTGGTCCATGTTTGGGCTTGTGTATTATCTCTGGGCCGGAAGACATAAATTTCAAGTCCCATTGACAAACTTGTCCATCACTCTGGACACTATTCAAGTCAATGAATATGGGCAAAGAGAGAATTAAACCAGCGCCTTTCTCCCTTACCTATGTTGATCCAGGTAAACTTGTTGTACATTACTGGTAAAGGTAATGGCAAGTTGATGTCAATGTTGAGCGTGTTGAAATCATACACATGTGAGGCAATCACCTTTCAAAAATGAACATCACCTCAATTCAACCTTTGGAACGTCAATTTGCAAGCTATGGCTAGACAAAAATGCGTTGATGACATATAGTAATACATATAGCAAGAAAATAAGGTGGTCATTAATAACGGGAAGAGTGCATGACACCGTATTGATCGTAGGTGAGACTTCGTGTTGCCGAAGAGGTGATATAGCGAGTGGTCTTCGGGTTATGGGTAGTATCGACCCCCGTAGGATGAAGTTCTTCCATGGTCTCCCTGTGCTTACTCATGGGCTTATTATCTCGAAGCCGTTGCTTCTCGAAGAACACATACCCGCAGTAGAATGCTTTGCTGGTGTTGCCATCCATCACACCCTTCTGTGCTAGGAATGCCTTCATTGTCTGTGGGTTGAGAGTGCCAGAACCCTCTGGGAGCATCTCACTGAGGGCTCGAGCAAAGGCTGCCTGCGTCACCCCCTTGGCCAGGAGAGCTCGCATTTTTCGTCGCACCTCCCTGGGCGTTTCGAAGATGTCGACATCGCCTTCTATCTCTCCAGGAAGAATGTAGTCGCCTGTGTCAAGAAGACGCTCCATGGAATCGGATTTACCCTTGGCGGCACTCTTGGTCGGCTTCTTCTTTTTGCTAGCTTCTGGCTTTGCCACGTTTCTCTTGGGAATTTCAATGGGCAGACCTTGCAGCTCTCGTTTGTGGAAAAACAATGAGGCCTTCTTGTGAACGTCTCTCTTTGGGTCACAGGAGGTTAAGTAACCCAGGAATGACCAATAATCTATATCATCGATACCAATGGTCTTTTGGAACTCGGCTTCCGTCTGGGCGCCAGAGTCAATCCATGTGCGAATCTTTGTCCGGATTTGCTCGGGCGTGTCACTGTAGGACGATAAGCGCGGATCATCGTCGTCGATTTCCTCCTCGTCATCTGGGAACAAGATCCTTTCAATCAAGTCTCTGTCCATGGGGCTAAGGAAATTCTTGAAAGTAATCCGTCCACCATCTTTTGTTGACGTGTTCCCTCTGCGGATATTGGGACTTCGTTCTCCCAGCGGAGACACATCATCAGGGGGCGGGGCTTCCGTATGCCTCATTTCTAATGTTCGCCCAACGCTTGAGATACGGAGCTGTGTTGGTATGACGTAGAACTGCCCGCAATATCGTGAAATGAAGCGGGGAGGTTTTGTTTATTTATGCGAGCCAGATCGCGTCTGAGACAAATCGCGTCACTTTGTACGTCATATGGTCAGTGCTCGGTGCTAATTTCCTACCCTGTAGCGACCTGCCAAACTTCAATCCTAAGGCCACAAACCACTGCTTATCTAAACAACCATGGGAAAATAATAAAAGTTATTTAGAGAATAATATATATAGATGTTAAGTGTCTGATTTCTAATTCTCTGATTGGGAGTGATAGAGGGAGCAGTTGTAGATTGATGGTTGGTGGTGTCCCAAACCCAAATCCTCAAAGGGAACACGGAAGTCATGCTTTTGAGGAAATCAACAATTTGGAATTTTTTGAGAATAATAAGCACCTTCAGATCAATGCAACACTGAAGGAACTTTCATTCAACGCTGATGTAGTAATACGACTTGCAAGCCAGCTCTGAAAAACAGTCAGTAGGCCATAAACAAATGTCAATGCCTAATTCTGAAATATCCAATAAGTAGGTCTTAACTACTACCAACCACTGGGAAGTTACAAATTTACCCATTGTCTCTCCAAGAATGGCTAAGAGTAATAAAATTTAAAAATACGTTTATTTATTAGGTACCTAAGACATGCCGTCAGGTATAGTTCAAGCATCTAAATGAGTGGGGATTTATTCTGAGATTCAAGGCATGTGTAGTTTATGATTCGCCTAGTAGACTATTTTTAAGCTTGGGGAGGAACATCCACACACTTAAACAAGGTTGAGAAAGGGTCGTCTGTTGATGAGCTGGCCCTCGTAAACTCCATACCGTTGGCGATGTTGTTTGCGGACTCTTCACCATACTCAGACGCAACCCAGGCGAGCGTAGCGTCAATGCCAGCACTGACGCCAGACGAGGTCCAAATGTTCCCATCTCGAACCCACCGCGCCTTGGCAACCCAATTGACCTTGGGGCCGTAAGCGACACACTCTTTCCAGAGCGCCTTGTTCGTCGTGGCGCTTCTGCCATCCAGCACGCCAGCCTGAGCCGCCAGCGCAGCCCCGTTGCAGACGGTAATCAATGTGCCAAGCTTTGGAACAGTATCGCTGATCCATTGCCGCAGTTTGGGTGTAGTCTCGAATCCACCGTATCCCCCAGGGATGATCAGCACGTCAAGTGCGGGGGCGTCTTCAAAGGTGTGAGTAGGCAGAACACTTTGTCCTGCAGAGTGTTTGCCTTTCTTAATAGTTGAGACTGGGTCCAGAGTTTCAGCAATCGTCGATAATGTGATATCATGCGACAAGGATATGTCATTCACCACCTCCATAGGACCAAAGGCGTCCAAGGCTTCGAAGCCAGGGTACACGAGAAGGCCATAGTGCTTCGGGTCTAAGTGAGAGTTAGCTATCGATTTATCATGAATGAATCTTTATAGCTCACGAGCTGATTCTGACGCCATTTGGAATATCCCAATCACGTTGCTGCATGTAATAAGGGTGTCTATTGCCGGGGAATTCAGAAGCGTCATTTAGTGACATTAAATAGAGGGTAGGGCATCTATTTGTATCCGAGAGCAAGCGGCTATCGGGAGTAAAGTTAGCCCGTGGAATTGCCCACCCTGTCCCTGCCAAGCACTCCTGAATGGCATGCGTGAATTCACAATGATAGAGCTATTGGAGCGGAGACACCACAAATCCGGCGCAACCGCAACTTTAAGTTCATGTCCTGGTTAGAATCCGAGTGCGGGCCCTAATCAGATCGAACTGTGATACTAGCCTCTCATTCGCAACATCCAAGGTTCCTTTCACATAAAATCTTTTTAAAACCACGATGCATGAGCGCACATGTAAGGTAAAGCTGGGGTCTAGTTCGGAACAAGGGTCGCGTCAAGTCACACCGGTGTCTCCATCGTATTGTGTAAGCGCATTTGAAAATGGATGCCTCGTTATGAGTTTTAGGCGAATTTTAACGCACCCTCTCGCCCCAAAAGCTTCAAATGATATTCCAGCCTTGCCTCTTTAGTGAGGACTTCGAGCAGACCGGAAGGCCCCAAAGTTATCTTAATGAGCTTTCTCTTTCTCATCACTGTTCCATGATTTACGATACGGTAACTCCCCCATACCTAATCTTGAGTTAACTAAACTAAGTTCAGCCAGATTAGGCTCGCCTATCTCCATTCTCAATAGATTGCCTACTTGGGGGGAGTCGGAGAAGCTTACCTCCATCTTTTTTCTCTTTCTTTTTTTTTCGAACACCTTTGACGTAATATATTCTCAGCTAAATACCTCAGTATAACGTGTTGTTAATAGTATGTGCTTACTATACGGATGAGAGAGCGCGTGCATTGTAAACGATAGAAATAGAAGATATCAGACCAGACATCTAAACTCAATGAATTTATATACGTATAATATTGTAGCTAGAGGATACAGGCCATTTATCAAGTTGTGATTTAACATCCCGGAAAATTCTTTTACTCCTCCCGTTGTGCATACTCTGCATCGGTGACAGGCTCATGCCAGTTTGTTCCTCCAGTCACCATGACAAGATGGGTCATGACAGACTCATTGTCAGCCCCGTGCCAATGGGTTGTGCCAGGGGACGCCCAAATGGTGTCGCCAGCCCTGATCCGCCTGGCTTTGCCCCCTTTGTCACAAATCCATCCGCTGCCTGACAGAACATGGATCATCTGCCCTTCGACATGAGTGTGCCAGTGAGTCCGGGCGCATGGCGTGAATGTGACACTGGCAATCCCAGCAGCTTTGTCAAGATGCATGATATTGGAAAGCACCTGGCCAGTGAAGGCTTCTGTAACCTGATGTGTCTTGGTATTCGAGTTGGAGATGATGGTGGATTCGGGCATGGTCGATTTATCTAGAGCTCGGACTTGGGTAGGGGGAAGTGATATTTGTTATGTGAAATCAGTGCTTTCGAACAGTAGCCTCCCCGATTGGTGGTGCAGAGGGCTGAGAGAGACAGCTGATTGTTCGTTTAATGTATGGTCGAAAGGGTAAAACGTAAAGGTGGAGGGGAAGGGCTGGGTTCTACAAAATGAGGATAGGCCTGGGTTTAAATAGTTGAAAGAAAGACGTACTCTAGCTACGTAGTCTACCTTAAGCCTAAGAGAAAGTAGCATGACACGCCAGGTCACCATTTTCGAGTTGTGGGCGTCCCTCTAAGTAGGTAGTTAGAAGCTAATTTCTGTTATTCTTGTCCCCATTCTAGTGCACAGGGAGGATCTTATATGCTGCTAAGACTTTTAAAAGTTGTGTGACGGAGCCAAGCGGAGGTATTTGTGGTACTCCTAGCATCTATCTATACAAACTCTACGTAGCGTAAGGTTCCTCCTCTAGGTATACCTCATACTTATATTTGCTCCCGGCATGGTCATCTCTCAACCGAGTCTGACCCTTCCCATAAACCCTCTCACGTGCCGTCAATCCAGGCTCAACAGCCTCAGGATATATGCCCCGTCTTCTAAGCTCAGGCACAAGTAATTCTACTACATCCTCAAACGAACCTGGCGACGTGACATATCCGAGATTGAAGCCGTCCAAATCAGCAACATTGATCCAGTTTTCCATTACATCAGCTACAGTTGCTGGAGACCCAACGGTAGAGGGGGAGATGTCACTCATAGCAGCCTTTTCACCAATCAGACGAGCAGTCCACACGGGTGTCTGGGCCGTTGGCTTAAAAATGTTACGTAGCTTCCTGGCCTCGTCAGAGTCCACCGTAGTGATGTCCTCATCGAGTGGGAGTTTGTACATGTCGATGCGAGTCCACCCGCTGAAGAGAACCAGGCCGCCAACGACACTCGCGTTCTTCTTGAGCGCCTCAAACTTCTCTTGGGCCTCTTCGTCCGTTTTTCCAAGAACGGGAGTAAAAGAGAGGTAGAACTTCAAAGAGCGTGGGTCACGCCCCTTTTCAGCTGCAATCTTGCGGTTCTTCTCAATCTGCGCCCGAAGGATCTCGGGTGAGGGTGATGACACGAAAATGCCCTCTGCATGAGTGGCTGCAAAGTCGATACCCTCAGCTGACGCGCCCGCCTGAAATAGGAAAGGCGTTCGCTGAGGAGAGGGGTCCACGATATGGCGGGTGGACAGTTTGTAATGCTTACCCTGATGATTGATATGGCGGACTTTGGATGGATCAATATATGTGTCTGTGTCCACATCAGGCTGCAGCGCATCATCGGCCCATGAGCCTTCCCAGAGTCTAGTAAGCTCTTTTGTTAGCAAATAGATGCTCATCCACCGACCGATATTCAGGGGGTGAGACTAACTTGTACAAAACCCTCATATACTCATCAGCTTGGGCATATCGCTGGTCATGCTCAATAGGATCAATGCCAATGGCATTGAATGCAGACTTCTTCCACGATGTGACAATATTCCAGCCAATACGGCCATCTGTCATGTGATCCAAGGTCGAGAATCGCTTTGCCAAAACAAAAGGAGACTCGAAAGATGTTGATGCTGTGATGCCAAAGGTAAGATTCTTGGTCACGGCCGCCATTGCTGTGATTGGCTACAGGGAGTCGTTAGCACCCGAATAAGGGTAACGTATTCCAATGGATGTTTGGCGTACAATAGATGGATCGGTTACTGGCCACTGAACTGCCCTTCTGATGCTCTCTTCTACATCCCCACCATAAATGTCGAATCCGCCGTTTGTGTCTGCAAGAAATAGCCCGCTGATGCCACCTCTTTCAAGAAGCTTTGCTAGTTCGACCCAATATGCCAGTTTGCGCTTTGTTGCTGATCTGTCAGTCGGATTCTGTCAAACTATTAGCACTCTTTTTTCGTTCTCGCCTCCTCTATGCTTTTCTTAAACTCTCGAATTTCGAGCAAAATTGCATCCACTCACTTTCCAGTGTCCAACGGACAGATGCCCGACAGTTGACATGTCGAAAGCATTCAGCAAGATCTGCTTCTTAGGTGGGACCTCTGGCGTTGACATTTTACTAGTTCCTGCTGGGGTCTAGAAGAGCAAGGGTAAAATGAAGGTTCAAGTTTGATGGCCGAACCCTTGACAGCCATTGCTCGTAATCAATTGTTGCGGAAGGCTTCATATACTATATGAGCCAAGAGTTGGATTGCTTGTAATACACCTGATTGTGGTATTATAATCGCTTTTACTAACTATTATCGCCGTGAGTTCCAACTTGGCAGTAATGAGTATCACGTTTTGGGACTGGTGTATTGCGTGCTTGGATGTTGCCAAAGGTCAGTACTATGCGATGTGGAACCTCCAGTTTTGTCAACGAATATGGTTTCCGCTGCATGGCGCAATACTGTCTAATCGGTAGGCTCCCCGATCGACTCTCTTAACCCCGAAAGCCCGGCACTTCTTGGAACTAAGATGGTAATACATCAATAGCGCAGCATGAGCAAAGACGGCAAAGGGCTGACGCAATCGGCTGCACAGAGAGCCGATTGGGTCTCTCCTGTCTTGGCGCAGTGGAGTTTACTTTCGCTGAATAGTCTTTGTTTGCAATAAAAGCTATCCAGACCGCGGAGCTCCGACGAAGGTCTAGTTCCCACGGCATAGCCTACCGGCTGTCTACCTAGACAACTCGCGGATGTACGGATACACTGGCGATAGATGATATGCAGGGCTCTCGGAGAGAGCCGCCAGATTTGGCACCCGAGGATCAGAGACCCCACAAAGTCCATCTTGTTGCACCGGCAGCCTCTTCAACAACGCACAGTTTGCCCTGGTCGCCCAACGAGGTTGAGGTTCTGTCAATTTGGAATGATGAACACTCGACTCTGGAGGATGGACGCGCCGAACCCCAACGGCTGCCGCCTACAAACAGCGAGTCTCAACCTGCTAGGACTCGAGGAGCCGTAGCCTGCCAGAAGTGTCGATCGCGAAAGACTAAATGTGACAATCAACGGCCAAGCTGCGGGTACTGCCTTAAAATAGGTGAGCCTTGCGTGTATGAAACGGAGGCCAAATCCTGGTAGGCCTTCACAACTCCCAACCTGCACGTCTTTAGAAGGGAACAGTACCAAATAACCGTCTCCTAGCTGCCACGTGTTTGGAAAAGAGGTTCTACAGGCCCTCGAAGAAATCCGAGAGCTCGTCTCGAAACCACCGACAACAACAGGGTCGACCAGTGATGATCAAGTACTTGCCGGTGGAGGAGACGGCTCCTCTACTGTGCCAGCCACTTTTGCTGCACCAGAGCCTCAGTTGGCTCCTAGTGGCAGTCATGTCCGCCCAAAGCCAGTCATCTCTCGCGCCAGAATCCAGAACATTGAAAATACAGTCCAATGGCGAATATTTCGATCGCAAATTGTGGCAAACGACATCTATCCTGACGCTGATCTAGTCATACCCATGGACCATTCTATACCAAGTACCGAAATAGAGCTACTGACCGAGCTGGAACTGAAATATGTCCAGGGCGTTCACTTGGTGAACCCCATCCTTGATTTGTCCACACTCCACGATCTGATTCTTCAGGTGGCAGAGAGCGGGTTTGACTGGTCCCTAGAGACGTGTCTCGTTGCACTAGTATGTACCATCGGTGCTATAAGTGAGCCTCTACAGCCACCAGAAAGTCCAGGATCTGCTGTAGGAAGTATCTTACAAGGTGATATCGGCTGTAGCAATCCCGACCTGGCTGTTGGGTACTGGAATGTAGCATCCAAGCGCCTGGGCCTTGCTCTTGATCAGAACAATATAGGGGCTGTGCAATGTCTATGCTTGACAGGGTAAGAACACTACAGAAAATGAAGGCCTTATTTGCCTGAGAGATCTTTGTCTTTGATGCTGATTTGGTCAAAGTGTTTGGCATATGCACAACCTGCAGCCACTTCAAGCTTGGAAATACTTTAGCCATGCGGCAAATGCGTGGTTCAGCATAGTCATACGGAAGTAAGCTAATTGGACAAATAATACGTGGGAAAGAGAAGGAACGTGTTTCTAATGAGATCACTAGCGACCCATTACGCCAACTTGACCATGTCCGCTCAGGTCCTACTGGCATCAAAGATGCACTGTGCTTTACAATTTGGAAGTCCACTTGGTATGTCAGTCTTTTCTTGTCACTAGCAGTGCTAATGCCTTCGGGTTGCGTCTAATGGTTTCCATTTAGCGAGCTGCGTACCGAGTTGTCGCTCCCCCAATCAGTCTTGGACGACTACGAAATCCTTAACCCATTTCCAGCGCTGCCAGACTTGGCAGTTGTGAGAGTTGGCACAGCTTCAATAGACAGCGAGCGGAGCTGGTACTACTATCTAGCAGATATTGCTGCACGGCACCTCTTTAATGACATCCTCGACTGCCATATCTATGACTTTGACAGCATCCAACTGGCAGATGTGGTGAGGATGATTCGCAACACTGAGATATTGGAGGAGCAGATAAAAAAGTGGCGATCATCCCTGCCTCCGCAGCTTCATTTCGACGTCCCAACAGACTTGAATCTGCCTGAGCTGGATGAATGGATGACGACTGTGTTGAGGCAGCGGTACTTGTCAAGTCTTGAACTGACATATCGACCTCTGGTACGGATATGCACCGACTATCCACTAAATGACATTGAAGGATACGATGCCCCGCTACGCAGCAGAGTGGCCGATCTGGCTTCGCGGAACCTACATTACTCGTACTTGAAGATTCTACCCATAAAGAGCAGGCTTCATCACGGGACCTGGTTCAACCTGCGCAGCTTGACGGGGGCATGTCTACGGTTCGCTGCAGTGGAGAGAGCCCAGCGCGACAGAAAGCTCATTGGTGCAAGTGAGATTCGCATTCCACCGAACTGGAGGCCTTGCGTGATAGGTAGAATAAATACTCTGCAGCAGTACTGGACTTCAGACCGTGGTGGCGGAGCTGGTCTGTTGGCCTTGATTGACCAAGCCCTGGCGTTGTAGAGCCACGACACGATCCGCGAGGTGATTGAGGTCATGAAGCCCCAAAATATAGAATGAAATAATGATAGGCTGAAAGGACGACGGAATATCTTATACTTCTTAGGATTTTTGTAAAGCGGGGCGTCAACATTTGCTTCAATGCTTTGAGGGAACGTGTATTTATGCGTAATCACTTCATCATTAATGCTATAAGATCTCATCACCAATTTTATAAGACCGTGTTTGTGTTCTCACTTTTTGACTTTTGTAAGTAGAACTCTAATTCATCCATTATGATCCGAACCCTCCGTAATGTAGTGTGTTTGTAATATCGCAACCATAATGAGTCCCAGCATAGTTACGAGTGAAAAAATGATTTTGTTTGAAGGAAAGATATTTGTTCTATAAGCAGACTGCATCGAGTAGTAGATATGTAGATTGAGAAGCACTCAATTCGAAACGGGTCGAAGTTTAAAAAGAAACCGATGTGAAACAAGAATAAAAAAAAAATGAAATAACAAGGTAGGTAGTACGAAAGCGACACTATCTTCAAGAAGCCCACGAGGATTGAAAAATAATAATCGAAACGTTCACTAGACGATAGGTAAAGGGAGTTTTATGCCTTGTCCCTGACTCTTAACCACAATGTATAAGATGGAAGGCTGTCGGATCGCCTATCCTGGCCTGTACTGGGCAGGCTGGCTAACTCTTGTTCTGAACGACAACTGTGTTAACAGTCAAGTCTGGGCCGCTCGAGTGACTAGCCGTATCATTTTGAAGGGTGGAAGACCCGAAAGATGTTTCCTCATCAGCGGCGCGTGTTCTACATTTAGGTCAGTACCAATCCTCACAGCTCAATGGGGGGGCAGCTTACTCGCGGGACTTTATCCACCAACTAAGTGGATGGGATATTATGATCAAAAGGGTTGACATCGCGATGCCAAAGGCAAAGCCCTTGGTGAACCTCGGAGCCTCTACTGTGGGATAGGTGAAAAGGGAGACCCAAGCCGTGGATGACTGTGCCCAAGCAGTTCCGATAATGAGGGTGATGGCTCGCTGAACCGGAGAGTGCCGCATGACGTGGTTCACCCAGCCATAGACAACGGTTGACGTGGCCGCTGCAGAGAAATTGGTCATGAAAGCAAACCACTTGGCTCCCTCGGGAACATCCCATTTAAGCAGGATGGACAGGCCGACGATGTTGAAGATATGGCCGCCCGTCAGGGCCCAGACAGGACCAACCAGCAGATCAGAGGCGAAGGCAGTCGCTAGAACAAAGAAGATGCCACAGACAGCCTGTAGCGTTCCGAGCTCGTTGAGTCTCGGCGTGGAGTAGCGGTTCAAGCTCTTCAGCCACAGTAAATAGGCTCCGCTCCCCTGTGATCCTCCCGAGTTCCAGAACAAGGTCATGGTTGTCAGGAGTGCCCAGAAGATTGGATTTTTGATGACCTGAACCACAGATTTCCATTCAAACTTGCCGGATGTTGAGTGACCAGCCGCCTTAAGCCGTGAGGTTGAGCGGTCAATGTCGGCCTGTTTCAACACAAAGCGGTTGGGCATGGCTGGCGTGCCAGGAATGACGAAGACACCCAGGATACCAACTGGAATTGTGATGAGGGCACAAATGATGTACATCCACCGCCAGCCAGCCAGGCCATGCACATTGTGAAGGCGTGCTGATGCTCCAGCTTGGATTAAGCCCGCGGTAAGCACACCAAGAGTGGTGCCGTTGTAGAAGATTCCGGCGCGGCGAGAGATCTCGTCCTTCCGATACCAGCATCCGAACATGTAGTGAACGGCCGGATAGAAGGCAGCCTCAAAGAACCCAACGAAGAATCGATAGGCCATGAGTTCAGAATAGCTGTTTGCGCGAAACTGAAGAAGGGTAAAGATTCCCCATAAGACGTCGACGGCCGGGATCAGCCAGTAGAGCGGAACATGAGTGAGCAGTAACATAAAGGGAAGCTGGCCAACGACAGCTCCAACAGTATACATAGTCTGAAACTGGACGAGCTCGTTGCCGTAGAATCCAAGGTCTTCCTTCATTCCTGACACGTATGCATTATCTATTTTCCCGTTAGTGAGAACTGCTCTTGAGATCGTAATTCTCACATATTCATACTAAGGTTGGATTGGTCAATGTACTTGACCCAATACGCGAGGAAGACGTATGGCACGATGAGAAGGTCAAGTTTGACAATCAGCTTCCTCTCTTCGGGTGAATCTGAATCAGCAAACCACCTGATTTTCCACCATGGACGCCCAGCCATGATAATCACTTGAACTTGGTAGAGATTGAAAGACTGATGAACTTGTGTAATTACTGCATTTGGTCCGAGGAGTCTCTTCAAATAGGTTCTACAGCGCCCAGTTTACATATTGTCTTGGTCGTTGCCAACTTTTCTATCTCAACTGGCAAAAAGGCGTGCTTGAAGACGACCCTGGTGCAATGGGGCTGATTGGGTTCATGGGATAACCAAGAGCTGGCGAGTTGATGATTTGGACGAGATCACGCAATCGCTATTCATCTGACAGACACTCTCATTTGTCGTAAGCTGATTAGCTTCGTGGGAACAGACCAATGGTGGGGATACGAACAATCTGCATCGCGGAGCCTGCCGATGATCAAGGGGAGTGTAGCCGAGAAGATGACCCCACTATGTTTACTCGGGTTGACAGATGGTGGGTGTATTGAGAGAAGCCTTTCCGGGTCTTTGGTACTCGCATCGGTCATTTCTAATATTGAATGGCATCATTCTTAGTGGAGCGAACTAGCGATCTGGACCCTAAGATACATCAAAACAGCGTAGGCTTCCTTTTCATGACTATAGTACCAGCAGCGCATCTTCGATAGTTGAGCCGCTTCACAGTTTTGCTCGATATCCCTCAACTCTTCTCTATACGATGACTGCTGTATCTCATCCCTCATCTCAAGCCAACTTTGTGACACCGGCGGACACACCATCGGCCGTACACAACAGCGACACAGTAGCAACAAAGCTTGGAGACATTCGCATACAAGCCAATGAAGTTGCGGACACAAATATACTGCCTAACGTTAACGGCAGTGTGCCCAATGGCACGGATACACCTCCCAGCCAGCAGACTGAGGAGCTAAAACCTGACCCAAAGTCGCGACTAGAGACTGTAGCGTCGTATCCAGTTTCAGACTTGAAGCTTGAAGATCGTTTGATTGACGACTTTCGGCCCCTTCGCGTTGCCGTAATTGGTGCCGGGTTGTCGGGAATCCTCTCTGGGATCCTACTACCTGAGAAAGTGCCCAACGTGAAGCTGACGATTTTCGAAAAGAGCAAAGAAGTGGTCAGTTCTAGGTGTATAAGTATCCCCGTCTGGAGTAGACAAGGCATGCTGACATTGAGTGACAGGGCGGAACTTGGCTTGAAAACATCTACCCTGGCGTGCGCTGTGACATTCCTTCGCACGTCTATCAGACTACCTTCTCTCCGAACTTGGAATGGTCGCAGCAATTCGCTGAAGGGGCTGAGATTCTCGAGTACTGGAAGAATCTGGCCAAAAAGTACGACGTCGCTCGCTTCTTGCGCTTGGACACGTACGTTGAGACGGCGCAATGGGACGATACGAGGTCCATCTGGGCACTCACGCTGCAGGACGTGGACTCAAAGCACACATCAGTAGAGGACTTTGACTTTGTCATCACCGCTATTGGCCGCTTCAACGAGTGGAAGCTGCCCGACTATCCTGGCATCAAAGACTACAAGGGTCACCTCCGCCACAGCTCAAATTGGGACCCAACGTTTGATCCCACGGGCAAGACCGTTGCTGTCATTGGCAATGGAGCCAGTGGCATCCAGCTGGTGCCCGAGCTCCAGAAAACTGTGAAGCATATTGACCACTATGCGCGCAACAAAACGTGGATCGCTGCCGGTTGGGGCGGCCAGGAACGCCAGTTTGGGCCAGAATATATTTCCGAGGAGCAGATCAAGTCCTTTGAAGACCCGGCAACGTATCTCAATTTTCGCAAAGGTGCTGAGGACCGGTACTGGAGAGGTGCCAATGCCATGGAAGCTGGCACCAAGGAGAATGCCAACTACAGAGAGAGGTTCACCGACATCATGAAGCGGCGGTTAGAGAAGAAGCCAGGCTTAGCGGAGAAGATGATACCGGATTTCTCGCCCCATTGCAGGAGATTGACCCCAGGCCCGGGATATCTGGAGGCGCTCACGGAGGACAACCTCGAGTACATACAGACCCCGATTTCCAAATTCACCTCCACCGGAATCGAGACTGTGGACGGCATCCATCGCGAGGTAGATGCCATCTTCTGCGCAACGGGCCACAACATCAACTTCGCTCCCCCTTTCTCCATCCGTGCCCGTGGAGTGGACCTCAAGACAGCCTGGAAGCACGACGGGGAGATTGGATTCCCAAAGACGTACCTGGGAATGGCAAGCGCCGGATTCCCCAACCTGCTCTTCATCGGTACCGTACACACAAACGGCATTGCCGGCACCTTTGTGCACAGCATCGAGAGCCAAATCACCCACTACGCCAAGATCCTGCGCAAGGTGTCCAGTGAGGGCATCAAGACCATCACGCCCTCTGAACGGGCCGTGGATGACTTCATATCCTATGCCGACGCCTACTTCCCCACGACTGTCATGACCGGCAACTGCAGCTCCTGGGCCAACGGTGGACGGCCCGGCTCTCGGATACATGGCGCGTGGCCGGGGAGTGCCTCGCATTTGGCATTTATTCGTCGAAACCCTCGTTGGGAGGACTATGAGTACCAGTACATCTCGGGCAGCGGGAACAGGTTCGCCTACTTTGGAAATGGGCGGACTATTAGGGAGGCAGACCCTGACTTCAACATCACCTCCTATTTAAAGACCAATCCGGCCGATACTGACCTTCGCGATATCCATGAGAGTTGGCATAGTTGGCCGTAGCTTATAGATGTTTTATCTTGTAATTGTCATAATTACGTCAATAAAATTGAGCTGATAACATATTGTAATCGGAATAGATGGCAATCCCTGATTCTTGATCCTGAGAACGGCCTGTGGCACACCCATCTGGGTTATGCCAAGCTATGCACCACACACTTCTTGATATAAGAGTACAGAAATCGGGAAAATATGTTTGGTCCAGCAGAGTCTGTTACATCCTCCGTGCAGTATTGCCAAAGATCAACAGGTTATTGAGTTGTTTATGCCTCTCACATATACTACTGAATCATAATTCTTTCTAGACCTTTCGTATATACCTCCATGTCGATTGCTGAATCCTTATTGTTCTTGCGGCATAGCAAGCACACCCGAAACAAGAATCCGAACCACAAAATCCACTGGCTATGCACATTCAGTTTCTACATTTTCCAACTCATTCTTTAAGTTCAGGTAGGATTGGATGTACATCTTCGACATAGTCAAACACCCCTCGGACATTGGCAGGTCGCACATCCCCAGGCCCTCGCGGCCCACGGTTCGTATTCCCACTCAGAAAGTTGTGCGGAAAGCCGACGTCAAAGGGATAAGACGTCTCGACCTCATCAATATCCTCCTTTGTCAGCCGCAGACTCAGGGCCTCGATGTTGCCTCGGAGGTGGTCCAGCTTCCGGCCGCCCAAGATGGGGAAGACGTACGGCGACTTGTAAAGCACATACGCCAGGGCGACCGACGTAATGGGGACGTGCTTGCTGTCGGCGACCTTCTGGAGCTGCTCGGAGACGAGTTGCTCTCGACCGTTGTTCATCGACGGCATGTTTCGGCCGCCTAGCTTGACCTGGTCCCTTGGCTTGAAGAGGCCACGGCCAAGCGTGCCCCAGGGTGCCAGGCCCATGCCCTCAGCTCGGCACATCGGGATAATGTCACGCTCGAAATCCCGATCGGCCGCGGACCACCGGCCCTGGTACACTGAGAACTGTCTGAGTCCGTGCTGCCTCGCGTACTCGTTGCACTTGACCACGATCCAAGCGGGCGTATCCGAGATACCCAGGTACAAGACCTTTCGCGAAGCAACGAGGTGGTTCAGCGACTGCATGATCTCGGGTATGTCTGCAGTCAGATCCCAGAAATGGAGGTAAAGGAGATCTATGTAGGTGGTCTGGAGCTTTTTGAGGCTCGCTTCGACGGACAGGTGCAAGCTCTTGGTGCCGTTTCCACCAAAGTTGGACTGCTGCCGGTATGATTCTGACCTGGCTTTGAAGTTGCCCGTGTACTTTGTAGCCAGGACGAACTCGTCACGTCTTCCGGTCTTGGATAACCATTCTCCCAGCCACTTCTCGGACTCCTCTGCTTGGTAACTCGACGCACTACATATCATGTCAGAACTTTCATAGTGAGTAGTGCAGTGTAAATTTGAAGAGAGAAAAAAACATCAAAGGGGGGAAGGAGGGTAATTCCAACACTTACGTATCGAGGAAATTGCCTCCTTTCTCGTAGAAGTAATCAAGTATCTCAAACGCCGTCTCCTTGGTGCACTCGCCCAACGAGTCATCCATGACACCCCCAAAATTCATCGTCCCCAGACATATCGGGCTGACAAAAACCCCTGCAGTGGGAGCCAGAAGTCGATGGCGGCCAAGGAGGCTCTTGGGGGGTTCAAGATTGGGCGGTGCCATCTTCGTAGATTGTTCAGGGCCGGGATGGAGAACCCGGGGTTTTGGAGAGGTGACGCCATCGGCATATCTCACTTACACAGCGGACTTTTATGCCAAAAGAGGAGAGGGCAGGTCACATCAAATGTCAGGATCGATCCACATCGCGGAGGAGGCCGAAGTGGAACCCCATGAGCACGATATAAGCAACGAGGCATCGGGGAGCACTGCCGATGAGAGGACCAGGGTAGTGTAAATGCGTGTGACGCTTCTATTCCTAAACTAGGCAACAAATCTATTGGGAAGCTATGTGCTAAGAGGTCAAGAGCGCATTCAACCCCACAGTGTGGAGTTGAGGATTAATGCCATAGACTACTCGGATACTGATGAGTTTTAGCATGGGATGTTGGACCCCGAGAAACATCGATCTACCTCAAATGTCGAGCTTTCTTTGATCGTCGTTATTACGTACATAAGTCAACAATCCCTCCTAAAAATCAAATTTGCGCCGCCCTGCGAGAGAATCACAAACAGTGCGGAACGAGAAAAAAAATGACAACAACTACTACCGCCACTGAAAAACCTGTGCAGTCACTGCCCGGTAAGGAGACTTCGCCTTCGCCTATCGAACTGTATGTACAAGAGATTAAGGATTCATGACAGCATGATGAGCAACACAAATCTAACACCATGGCCTTTGCAGATATGGACTGCCCTATTGGGGCAACGAAAATGGACAAAAGTATGAACGCAATCTCATTTACTTATCTCAATTGGGAACAAAAATAACAAGTATGCGGACACAGGCTGCCCCCTCTCGAGCCCTTTGAGCACTACGAGCATGGAAAAGACGCGGATCCAAACTTCGGATCCTTATTCAAAGAAGGGGTCAAGATCTCAGACATTACGAAATCGATCGGTGCCGAGGTCACTGGCCTCCAGCTCTCTCAGCTGAACGACAAGGCAAAGGACGAACTTGCTCTCCTAGTAGCGCAAAAAAAGGTCCGCCACTGTGAGGCTACCGCGAAATAATGACCCCCTAACGATCTCCAGGTCGTCGTTTTCCACGATCAAGACTTTGCCACCATACCGATTCAGCAGGCTGTCGATTTCGCAAGCTACTTTGGCAGGCTGCATGTACATCCCGTCAGGTGAGAGACCTTTATCTCATACCCATTCAGGCCACTTCTGGTTAAGGCTTTGCCTTTCGTGGGTTGACTCTCTCACTCGCAGCGGCGCCGTTCCCGGTTTTCCTCAGCTCCATATGGTCTACCGCGGACCCAAAGATGTCAATCACGATAAGATGCTTGAATCCCGAACTACCTCCGTCTCATGGCATAGCGATGTGAGCTATGAGTTACAGCCTCCTGGGACCACATTTCTATTCGCCATTGAAGTTCCTGAAAGCGGGGGAGACACTCTATTTGTGAACCAGGTAAAAGCATATGAAAGGCTCTCTCCAGCATTCCGAGAGCGTCTGGCTGGTCTCAAGGTCGTGCACTCCGCCCATGAGCAGGCCGATGCGGCTCTCAGGAACGGTGGGCAGTTGAGAAGGGACCCCATCACTTCTGTGCACCCTCTGGTCCGGACTCATCCGGCAACGGGCGAGAAGGCACTCTACATTCAACCTCAGTTTGCCCGCTCGATAGTGGGCTACAAGCAGGAAGAGAGTGAGGCACTGCTAAAGTTCCTCTACCAACACATAGCCTACAGCCAGGATCTTCAGTGTCGTGTCAAGTGGGCCCCTCGCTCCGTTGTTGTGTGGGACAATAGAGTCACTGCTCACTCTGGCTTGGTCGATTGGGAGGGTCCACGGTACAGGTACATTGCTCGCCTGGCAGCGCAAGCTGAGCCGCCAACTGAATAGTACAATTCCGGTAGACAAGTCTCAGACTCACGATAGCTCAAATGTCCATTTAGCATGAATTCGACTTTGCTTGAATTCAAACCCATTGGCAAGCTACAACACGCCCGATCGAAACCAAACCGACACAAGGAAAGCAGCGTGAATAGTCTAGAAACGAGAAATATCAGTTCAGAGGATAAGCAACCATCTTGAATACTATAACCAATGACGTCAAAGACACCTATATACTCTATGAAATGACTTGTTTCTCTTCCATCTCATATAAGAGATTGCGATGGGTGTCAAGAAGGGTTCAAATCAACCAAAATCAGCATCACACATCCGAAATCTCTATATAATGAAGCTATTACATACATCCCGTAGAAATAAGTTAATAACTCTCATTTTTATGTCAAATTTCTATGCAGGTCAAGGAAAATTCAATGTGGGAAACAAAATCATAACCCAAATCCAGAACACAACGCTTTACATATCATCATCCCATTCACTCTTTCAGATCCAAACTATCAAGGACGCCAACGCAAACATCAGGCTGAGTAAGGAACTCCTGTCTAGGACTACGCCACTGCTATTTCCGTCGCCCGTTTGGACAGCACTGGTCGCGGTATTGGGATTCGAAGTAGTGGCTAAATCTTTAGGGTCAGATTTATCGATAAATCAGCTAGAATGATCGCCGAACTAACGTACTTGGAGCGCCTGACGATGTTGACGTGCGTAATAAGTTCATAGTACTTGTGCCCCTACCGCATCCAACAAATGGGGTGAAAGTCGTGACATCGAGATCTTGGTAAACCCTATGTGTGACACATCCAACGTCACTTCAAGGCAAGCCCGTTCGTTAGCCAAGGTTCTTCAATACGTTGGGTGGGAGGGCACCTACCAAAGGATTCCTTTGCCGTCAATTCCGAACGCGGTCTTTCCTGAACAGCGAGTATATAAATCATCAGAGCCACAACCGCCATATTCACCTCGCGTGGTGAAAGGCTCGTTGATGCAAGCCAGCCAGTCTAAGAAGAGAGATTTAGCACGAGGTCGTGTTATATACGAGATGGCGGAGTCATACAGTAGTTGCCCTTGGTCCCGTTCCGACCCATTCCGATACTCATCTCATCATGAGGAATTTCTGTTGTCGCGAGCGAGTAGAATGAGGTCGTGACGTAGGTTGATCGAGCTCGCGTCGTGGGTGCCGAAGTGGCGGTAGTGGCTGAGACCACTTGCACTATGGCCAAGAGTAGTGTAACTGGGAGAAGAGATAGCGAATGCATATTGCTGGAAACCCTGAGTAGAAGACGGACCTTGAAGTGGGCAAGACAAGATCAGATTGCTCTGGGAACAGGTCGAGCTTATCAACGAATTGGAATGGCTGCATCTTCAGGAAAGCACTAATACTTTCAGCTCGGTGGAGCCTGGAGGCTAACTTGTTGCTAGGCTAGTGACTATGCATAAAAAGAAAGGAGCTGATCAGCGTCAAGCCACTCTTGCCACCGTGCCAAGTATGCTGTTCTAGCCAGCAATGTTCTAGCCAGCTTGTGCGCTTTGCTAGGCGTAGCCAAGGCAATCTAGATCTTGGCGCCAGGCGTCGATGTGCCTCGCCCTTGAGTCGGGAACCTTCTGTCTTACCTGGCTGCTTCGGGAATCCCGAGCTTCATTCAATGCGAGTCAATGAATGACATAAGCAGAGAGCAATCTATATGGTACGGCAGTGCAAGAGTGCTCAAGTTAGAGGGGCATAAACTTCCTCTTACAGTCATCCTAAATTTTTGAACACAACATTGGGAGGATATCCTCAAAAGTTCAGAAGGCTCTGTTTCTACCTTAGTCGTCTACTGCCACAGCTGCTGGAAAGGAAGTCTATTCCCATCTTGTAAATATCGATGAAGGTTGACTTGCGTCTCGATTGGCTTCGAACGCCCTCAAGTTTCTTTTGGAGCTCTCAGTATTTCCGTAAATGCTTCTCCCTGGATTTATGATTGAAGTACCTGCTTATCGACCCAGGGCAGTCACAAGGCAGTTTAAAAGGCCTCCGTGTGGTTCCAAAGCACCAGCTTGAATACTCAAATGCCCCCAATTCGTTTCGGCTCAGATCAGATCAGGAAATGCAATGTGGGAACAAGCTGGCAACCCCTACTCGTGAAACCGAACACCATTTTATGACCCGCAGGTGGTTTAGATCTTGGCTAGATATCAGAATGTTTTGAGATTGCATCAAATTGTTTCGTACAATTGCACTTTGAATAGAAGCTTGGCCGGCACCTTGAATAGTTGTTCCCGCGCGTGTCGAATGTTGTGAAAGGAAGGCTTGTAGGGTTGACAGTCGGATAACTTCGTCCTTTTAGCATACGATTTAGTTTGTTTTAGAGAAGTCATCAGCAATCATATCTCGAAGTCTCGCTGAATGATATTCTGGCCTTGTGGACCGTCCTCAGATGCACTTATTCCTGGCGATATACTGTTGCAGTCCTCAGATTCAGGGGGCTTATACATGTGAGTAGACAATTATCTCATGTGTGCTCTTATATATTAGGAGCAGCCTTCTTATTTTCCTTCAACAAACCATGCAGTATGATTATGGATGGAGTCGGGAAATGAATTTGAAGCTATACAAGGCCTTTATCATGTATCGAGTCACTCACAAAAGCTCCCTAACAATATCAGCTATGTCCCTCTAGTCGAAAAAGCCGAGGCTCCATAGGTAGAAAACTCCATTGAAAGCCCAGAAATTAATATAAACCAAGCCGGTGAGTGCTGTATACTACAACGGTTAAACTAAGTCAAGGATCTTAAACCTAATGGCACTGATTCGCTACTCCTATAGAATCAAAGTAATATGGTAGGGGACTTTCGTTGGGATCACCTCTCAGAACTATATTACAAATCGATACGGGGCATGGCTAGTCGGCTTTCGTATCACCGCGCTTGTTCTATACCCAGCCTGAGTCGCCCAAAGTCAATCCCTTTGTATTCTCTGATCTTGAATTTCTGCTTTGCAACTACTAGTTCCGGGTTTATTTCACTTAGCTTGAGATAGACGAGGTGGGATACCAGTCAGCTGAAATTGGTCATTTTGAGACCTCAGGAGAATACGACGTCAGACAGTTGGCGTGATGCGAGTTGGTTCAAGGCTACTGCCTTCCCCGTTCTTGTGTGAAAAGAAAAAGGGTTCCTTAATCTTTCTGCTGCTGCTCCCTGTGCATGCTTTGGATAGCAGAAGTGCTGCCTTGGTTCATACGTTCATCACAAAAGCCAAAGCCTATCTTCCATTGTGTTGGGATTTCAGCTGCTGCGGGGTCTCTGTAAATACGGTAGTCTCTCTCACGAAGCAGCTATTAATAGAACATACGGAAGATCCGGACACTTCTCAAGCTTCTTTTCGATAGTCCGTTTCTAGGGTTTCCTTCTGTTCATCCTGAGGATAAAAAAAATTCAGGAGAAGCAATTAAAAGTTTACTTCTTCTACAATCAAATAAAAATACCATTGGTTTACGTGTGTTGGGGTGTGTACGCGCCTGGGAGCAGCAAAGCTACATTCTGAGGGCCATCGAGCAACATGACAAAGTAATCAATCACATTTTTGCTCAATAACAAATTTAACTCCTCTTTCATCGATTCCCGGACGTCAGGAAAGGAGTCTTTGACCAATGAGCTAATAATTCCGTAGCAAGTGCGTCCACAAGGATTCCCACACAAGAGATACCGGAGGCTATTTCGTCGGATCCGGGTAGCGGAGGGTTTTTTCCCCCTCGAATAGGGGCTAGTACAGCTCCTGTTCAACGCATTAGAGACGACGGCGCGTCATAAACAGAAGAACGACTGCCCTTTGCTTTCGAACGTTTGCTGGTAACGGTTGGGAGATGACTTATGCATGGTGATAGTAGACACACCAGGGGTCGTACTCGGGAGTTTCTCATCCTCCTTCCCTCATGGAACAGACGGCAAAACAATGCAGATGATAAATCAAGCGGCGCAGCTCCGCGGTCCCAAGGCATTAACCAAAGACGAGCAAAGCTTAAGGGCTCCAATATGGCTCACTCTACACCCAGGCCCCACAAGCCGGCATCCTTCCTCGATACGACGTCGATTTCGGTAAGGTGAGTGAGATCTGTTGTTTGAGAGAATCCTTGCAGTACATCGACCAATGAACGCCGGCATCCAAGATCATGCAAGACACAATGTAATTATAGCGACGGAAATATTGGAGCTAATATAGCAATCACTTTGAGTAGGAGTAAGAACCCAGAGAGTGACTTTTCCCGTGTTTCCGAGCCTTGCTTCCTAGAATTGCATCCTTCTTTGGGCCGTTATCACCGAATGCAAATGACGTTTGGATACCTACCCATTACGCAAACACCGTGCTTATTGACTGTTTGTCAGCGTAAGGGTCAAGACACATCGCGTCACGAGAACAACCTTCTATTGTTAGAATATCAGTTCTCGAGAGTTACTATTTAAAGCCTACTCTTAAGCATATAAAAGGACTCCTTGATACTCCGCAATATCATCTTGGTTATTCTCATCATCATTCTTCTTTTCTCCGTCTGTTTTCATACAACAATTAAGCCAAAGTAACTAGCATTTTCTACATTGCTCGACAGCATTTCTCTTTTTCTCTTTTAGTTTTTACTTTTTCAAAATCTTTTTTATCACCACCACATCTCAAAATGGTTGTCATTAAGCAACTCTCTCTAGGGGCAACCCTTCTACTCAGTCTCGCTCAGAATGCTGTCTGTGACACAACTGTGGAGGAGCGAGACCTCGAAATTCGCAAGGGAGGTGGCGGTGCAGGCCCTCGTGGTAGCCACGCCGGGCACGGTTCTGGCACGACTAGCAATGGCTTTGCTGGCTACCAACCTTCTGCTCCTAGGCCCTCGAGCAGTGGCAAGGGCAAGCGAGGCCTTGAGATCCGCAAGGGAGGTGGCGGCGCCGGACCTCGCGGCAGCCACGCCGGGCACGGCTCCGGGACTACCAGCAATGGCTTCGCTGGTTATCAACCTTCAGCTCCTAGGCCATCTAGCAGTGGCAAAGGCAAGCGAGGCCTTGAGATCCGCAAGGGAGGTGGCGGCGCCGGACCTCGCGGCAGCCACGCTGGACATGGCTCAGGAACCACCAGCAATGGCTTCGCTGGTTACCAACCTTCAGCTCCTAGACCGTCCAGCAGCGGCAAGGGCAAGCGAAGTCTTCAGATCCGAAAGGGCGGTGGTGGTGCTGGATCCCGCGGCAGCCATGCTGGGAATGGTTCCGGGACCACCAGCAATGGTTTTGCTGGTTACCAGCCTTCTCCCGCAAGACCCTCTAGCAGCGGTAAGGGCAAACGCAGCCTTGAAATCCGCAAGGGAGGTGGTGGTGCAGGTCCTCGTGGCAGTCACGCCGGGCATGGTTCTGGCACAACTAGCAATGGCTTCGCCGGCTATCAGCCTTCTGCCCCCAGACCCTCTAGTAGTGGTAAGGGGAAACGCGGCCTTGAAATCCGCAAGGGAGGTGGTGGTGCAGGCCCTCGTGGCAGCCACGCCGGGCACGGTTCTGGAACAACGAGCAACGGCTTTTCTGGTTACCAACCTTCTGCTCCTAGGCCCGCTAGCAGTGGCAAGGGAAAGCGAGGCTTCAGCTACGAGGAGGAAGCTTAGACACACACATAGGAGGTTTTTTTCCGGGATCTAGGTGGTGACTAGTTGCTCTAAGAGTTGATTAAACACTCGTTGGTTGGGTATCAGGAACAACTTGCTATTCAGTTTGTATACTATTTTAAAGAAACATATTTTGGAGATTCATATTAAATACGATGCAGGCCTCGAGTAAACGGAGAGCCTCTGTTAGACATTCAATGTATAAGGAAGCAAAATATCACACAAGATCATTGTTTTCAATCTATTATGAGGATAATCTACCTACCTAGGCGTGGTGTTATCAAAGCAAGATCATGGCTCCCGGTCCCTTCTGGCATTCACATTCAATCAACGACTTACTCTCTAACTACTCAAGTATTGTCCCTTGCAATTTGTTTCATCAAAATTCTAGTCAAAACGTTTGTAGTAAAATGGAGATGTGCTGATTGATATTGCAAACCCATTACCGTTCACACCTCTGTCCGGACTACACCCGACGCCGTCACCATGATGACTCCTCTGTAGATGACTTCATGTCTTCTCTAGCGCTTGTATTTCATATCCCTCACAAATTACAGAGTGAATCTGATTTACTCAGGTTTTAGCGCATATGTTGTCTCCAAGAATGGGTAGCTTTGCGCTTTCACCATCGATCCAAGTTTGATGATTCTGTACCCTGCTCACAAGAAGATCACTACCCCTTCTTGCTTACCTATCAACCAAGATTTGAAAATCACACCATCAAGTACCTGGACACGAAAGCAACCCTCAGCCCCGATTACATTGGGACCGAACGAGGTTTGTGCTGCGCCGCACAACAGATGGTCATGTATGTCATCGTCTGACCCCTGAAACATGATCATAATGTCCACATGATTGGTTAAGAAGCGAAGGGATTCAACTGCCGGACGATCCCCAAATTAGATCTCAAAAGAGAATGACGCGACCCTTGTTGATTATGGGTTGGAAACGACCAGCTGAATATTTGAGGTGAGCAGGTGGTTTAATATTCCAAGTCCGGAAGCTCGCTCGCATGCTTGCGTCGGTGACTACGTCAAAACGGCTCCCCCTATCGAGCTTTGTCGTCGCGCGTCCTCAGATATATACTCAACCAAGCCGGAATTGTCCGGGCATGAACACACCTTTTCGCGAACTCATCCAGTCCGCGCAGCCTGTAAAGTACTAGACATCACTACAGTGATAGGTCAGAACAGCACGCTTGGCGAGGGCTGTAGTCTATATTTCCAGAGTTAGTTCAATTGTCTGGAACAAACGAATTCAAGCAAACAAAACCAATCTCTCTGCATAGGTGAGGTAAGTAATTCTCAGCTACAAAATAAAATTTAAGCCAGGCCTTGAGGGGGGTGCGAACAAGTGATCGCAGAACAGGCCAACCCATACGCGCCGGGTAACGAACAGGTGCTTATCCTTCTCAACTCCCATCTAGGGGCTCTCTAACTAACTACGCGAGCGGCCGTGCTAGTAAATAGATAATTGTTTCACGTGAATATATATAGAAGATGAACCTTTTTCGTAGCTTTGTCTCCAATTAAGGGTCTAAAGCACTGAAGTTCTGGGGAGAGTCGACATATATTTTCAAATTGTTTTCAATCTGTTTCGTTTGGTACTCTCGAAATGATAACAAGCAAGCCCCTTGCAAGACAGGTAAGCCAGGCTATGACACAAAGTTGGAGGGATAGATTTCATGCACATTCTTTCTCTACCACCTTGCGTTAAAGCCGTAAAGTTTTCGACAGCTAAAAAGGAGCAGTGGAATTCAGCCAACGACGTGGCGGGAGGTACGTCGAAGCAAAGAAGGCGAGATATAAATCGACGGGGAGCGTACATGCCTGACGGATACCCAACTTGTCGATGAATGCGAGGTGGCAGGCTTAGTTAGCACAAGTTTTCCATCAATACCCAGCTTGGCGAAGTCTAATTACCCTCTTTGGTGCATGAAGAGAGAGTCCATGTGGCAGAGTCGCCACTTTAATCATCAGACATCCTTGATTGTGCCCCAAACCTGCTGCTGCTATGGCGCAAAAGATGGTCCCAATGCCCCAGCACACAGAGTACTTGGTACAAGAAATAGCTCGAGCTTACATGAGGCAATATAAATTACTGGCCGTCTAGTCTCCCTAGGATCTTAAAATCTAACCTAGGTCGGCGGGAGCTGAATCCATCACATCTGCGTGACTTACGCCACCTTACAGAGTATGCATGCCAAGACTTCTTCTGTTATCTCTACTGCTCACGCATGTGCCCTAGAGCAATAGCACCTACCAGATCCAAGATCTTAGAGTCGCGTGATGGGTAAGACTCCCACTAACAACATCGCAAGTGCTAGGCGGGAGCAGAGGAGTGAACAAACTGCGCCGACATCCGGAACTTGATAGGTATAAATAGGGCATGTACTAGACAATAAATTGAATAACTTCTGTGTCATACATCATCTGCCTTTCCTCCTATGAAGCATCGTTGACAGAAATATCTCTTTCCAAAAGGTAGGTGCAGAATGAGACCTCCGAAAGAGCAAGACTAAATGATCGAGGACAGGACCTTTGGGCTACCAGTCTCTCTTTTAATCAACCATCATGGGCGATGCCGACGGACAGCCAAATTCAACCACCTTGGACTGCGGCGACGGAGGGAACTAAGTGAGTGGCCCCCAATCAATGCTTAACTCGTATTAAAAGCTGCTAAAAAAGTAGACTCTGGTTCCGACGAAGCAGAAGAAAGCGCCGTGGCTTCCCATGGCGTCGCTCTAATGGGACAGTTGAAGGTAATCCAGTGTTGTCAACCAGTAGTATTACCAACGGCATAGCTGATACCCACCCGCCGTCCCCAGGAGCAGCATCCTTTGCTCTGATATGCGTGTCTAGGCAATCGATCCCCTCATCAGTCCGGTTAATGATACCGATGATATCAGTGGTGGATAAAATGTTGCTCTTCGTGACAGTTAATTCCATCAGTTGGCCTTATATCAATTACGATGATAGTCGATCTTTATAATCAGACAGCCCTATATTATGATAAATTCAATGTGTTTTGCCAATGTCTGCGTCTCTTACGCCGACAAGAATAATAACAATATTCAAAAAATAGTAGACACTCCTATGAGGTCTACCGATATCTAGGCACAGCACGCCCAGGAAGTAAGACCTCTATACAATTGATTACCAAGAGAAGCTCAAGGCGTCCTCTTTCGCGCAAACACTGCGGATGCCTAAACCCTGGCGTGCACCTTGGCCCGCTGTATCTGAAACCCATCATATGCCTGAATAGCGAGCTCTTTCCGCAGCCGCTCAGCCGCCTTCTTGATGAGCCGGTGCGTCGGCTCCTCCCTGTCCGATTTATGCTCCTCGTAGTGGAACTTGCTGCGGCCAACGTCCCAGACGAACATGCCCCTCCGCAGGGGATGATACTCGTAGACCTGGTGTCTCCTCAAACTGCCACGGCTGAACTCGGCCGCCAGCGCCTTTTCTTTGAAGACGTACAATGCCTCGAGCTTGAAGTAGTACTCGAAAACACCCCCAAGCGAGGCCTTCATCTGGAGCAGCGAGTCCGACACGGCGAGGTGCTTGACAAAGGTCTTGATCATAATGGTCTGCCCGTCCAAGTCGGGCTGCAGCTGGCGGTTGATGGGCTCCCGGATAAACTCCCACCATTTCTCGGTGGGAACGTAGAGCGCATCCCCATCAGGGTCGAAATGGCGAATGAAGCTCGGTCGCCTGTTCTCATTGTGGCAGATGTCCACACCCTGAGCGCGGATCCATCCAAGGGCATGGCGGCGAGCTTCGCGATTGACAAATGCTAGTGGGACGTCGTACTGGACTGGGGTGAGCAGTTTGTAGTCAAACTCCATGTTGAGGTTGCAATCCTCGTTGACGGGATCGTAGTCTTCGTCGCCGGGCATCAAGCGACGTGGCCGCCAGCAGCCTTTTTGGTAGAGGAACAGCGCTGGGCGAGTCGCGTCAGGCAGCGCATCGTGCCAGATCTGGTCGCGGATCTCAGGCGGCAGAAGGGAGAAGTGATGGAAGATGGGGTGATTGTCCGGTGCCATTATCAGCGTGTTGCGTTGGTGGGTGGGATGAGGGGATTTTTTTACGGTCGCAGATTATGAGCAGATGAAAGATCCAAACACAACATCAACCAACGAAACAAGTCTGGGAGCGTGACTTTCTAATGCCTTGGATGCGGGGGGCAAATACTCATGCACAATAGTGGTGCTGATCCGGGGCTATGACCCGAAAGCCGACCCAGAACGGCGCTGAAGCACGATGAAACACGGCTGATTGGAAGAGCTCAAAGCTGTTGGTTGGGCATTTGGCTTGGCATCGCCTTACAAACTCGTCTTACGTGCAGCAAAAGCCAGGCAGAACGGAGAAGAATAAAAATATAAGGGTCCGTCTTACCTCGCCTTCGATTGAGGCTGTGGTTGATCTGACTCCTTGCTTCTCTCCTCCACTTCGCTTCTTCCAGTCCGTGCAAGTTGCCGCTGGCAGGCATTTGCATTTCTTTCTAGTCTGAATCTGATCTCCAGCGCCTGGTGCGCTGCAAGTTCAACCCCATAATGGCCTCCCTCAAGGCACTGGTCTTCGGCCTGCTCCTCCTCGTCAGCCAGGCCCTCGCCTCCCGCGTCGTCTTCCTCGGCCGGTTCGCCGACCCGACCAAGCCCGACCAGGTCAAGAAGCCCTCGCGCACGACCAAGAGCCTCCAGATGCCCGACGACAAGGCGAGCCAGGCCATGGCCAGGATGAAGGCCTGGTCCGGCAACAAGTACCAGGCCAACCCCGGCGACCACAACACGGTGCAGATCAGCAACGTCGCCCTGGCCAAGACGCGGCCCGAGGCGACCAAGATGGTCGAGGAGATGCAGGCCATCGTCAACAAGAACTACAAGGCCGGCGACAAGACCATCAAGGACAGGTTCACGGTCGGGCGCAAGCAGCTGCAGCACGCGGTCAAGTCGGGCATCAAGAAGACGACCAAGGCGATTCTGCCGGCCAAGAAGAATACCAACACGCTGCAGAGGCCCAAGCTTCGAAGACGGCGGGAGCGACAGGCAATTGAGTGGGAGGCTTGAGAGTGATTGCCGGGAGAACAGGTCTCTTGCTTCATGTTAGGAATAGTCAAGATCAGACAGAATTCAATTGACACATCTCGGTTGGTATCATAGTATCATCGAATAATATATACCCAAGAGTCTATTCTACTCTATGGAATGCAAACACGTAGCTCTATTGTCACTTCGACCCTCACAGCCATAAAGCCCATACAAACATAATCGTCATTAAACCCGTCATGCCGACCCCATACGTCGATGCCGCCGAGTCGTCATTCTCTTGCTGCTTATCACTCCCGCTGTTGGTCGTCTTGGGGACATCCGTCGAGTTCACCTTGTCCCACGTCTTGTTGTACGAGACCCCAACATCGTCCGTGACGGTGGCATTCGCCTTCGATCCAGGCCCGTCCACCGAGCCAGGCACACAGATGGTCGAGTTGCCGCTGGCATACGTGACCGCCGCCCGCCACAGCTTGGAGATGTCGCGCACCCTCTCGCCCGTCCAGAAGAGCCGGCAGTTGGCGCCCTCGTAGACAAACTGTCGCGGCACGTCGTCCTTGGCTCGGATGACCGTGTCGAGAGCGTTAATCCCTCCACCGCCCACCCTCCAAGGCGTCTCGGCGAACGTCATTGGCAGATGATTCACATCCTCGGCCGTCACGCCCAGGAGCGAGAGCACCTGCTTGGGATTCCTGGCCAGGCTGATCATGTACTGTACAGTCGTCTTCACATCACTCAGGGCATCGAGAGTGCGGACGTTGTGGCCTCGAGTGCCTCCCGCGACCTGCATAGGCCCGTATCCAGGAACTCCGCCGACGACGACGCTCTTGACGCCCGCGTCGTTCTTCATGAGGGCGTGCAGCACGGCGCAGGTGCTCCCGCAGAGGCCGTCGCTCAGAAGGATGACATTCTCCGCCTTCCAGGTCTCGTTGTACGTGGGCACGTTGTTCCCGTAGCCTGCCACATAGAAGCCGAGCGACCTCGCAATCGACCTGCTGTCCAGGTTATACTGAGCATTCTTGGTGAAATTGTCGCCGTGGCTCTGGATCGGTCCGAAGTAGTCATTGTACGAATCCCAGCTCGAGTTATCGGCCCTCAGCAGCACCCCGGTGTTCAACTCACCAGCGGCGCCCAGCACCGTAATGTCACCCGCATCAAACGAGTCAAAGGACCTGCTGCTATTAATCACGTTCGTCACAATATTACCCAACGTCTTCAAATCCGACGAGGCGCGCGCGCGGAACAGCGTATTGGGCAGCGCGGCAGGGAAGAAGAGGCGGAACATGTCGTACGCGAGCAGCAGCGAGCCGCCGCGGTTGCCCATGACGTCGATGACGATCCTCTCCACCCCCGCGGCCTGGGCCTCCCTGATGAACCTCCTGACGGCCGAGCTGAAGGTCGCGGGGCTGGCGTCGCTCGATGTCTGGAAGCTGGGCACGCTGAGTACGCCGATCTTGTCGTCCCGGAGGAAGTAGCCCGAGATCATGCCGCCCTCACCAAAGTCGGACTGCACGAGGTCGGGGTCGCGGGGGTAGCCGAAGTAGGGAACGGAGCTGACGGCGCTCCTAGGGGTGAGGACGGACCGGTCCCAGTCTGCCGCCGCCTCCAGTTCTCGAGAGTCGACGTGTAGTTCGTATTCCTTCTCTAGATTAGCCCTCGAGGCGAAATTGCTGCTGTAGGTCGAGTTCCGGTTCTTGACTTCGGTTCCGTATATAGCTGAGCCATTGTAATATCTGTATCTGGTCAAGTCCCTCGTCGATCCAGCCGTGTATGGCCACTCAAATTGAGTTCCATTGGCGTAACGGCCCTTGAGCGACGCGCCGTTGTAGATCTGCGTCGTCTGGAACGCGCTGTAGTGCAAACTCTGCTTGCCCCGGCCGGTGGTACTGAAATCGGCCGCCGGGTTCTCCATCAGCGAGTTCCAGTCTGCGTTTGGATCATTGAAACCCAGGAAATAAGTCCGCTCCAGGTAGCCTCGGAGGTAGGTGAAGGCGGACTGGCCCTCCAACTCCACGACCGCCGATGCATTCTGGACATTGTTCGTGATATCAGACCAGGCGAAGAGCTGGGGGAGACTCTGGCCGTCCGACGAGATTGCGGTGAGTGAATCCGGCAGAGTCCAGTGGAATAGTCCCAGAACTCCAGAATATACGTAAAAGTGGTAGTCGTTGACATCGCGAATAATGCTTTGAACAGCCAGGTCGAACTCGTACTGGTTCTTGTACTCTCCCGATCCGAGCTTGGTCTTGATCGCATCGAAGCGCCCCATAACATCCACCGGTAACCGCTGATACGACTTGGGAGGGTCTTTGAGATATGCAAGCGAGCTCTGGAGCGAGAAATAATTCTTAAAAACGTCGATCATCGTGCTGGCCTCCTCGGCGACTAGCGGGACGGACGTGATGCACTCATAGGCCTTTTCCGCATCAAAGTTTACCAGGTACTTCATGTCGGTCGCGTACGTTACATTCGCACTCCTGGAGTTCTGTTTCTGCTCATCCATGATGGCCCGGCAAGGATTGACCTCATCTTGGTTCTGGGCGCGGGCACCAGAAAGCTGGAGCGCAGCCAGCGAGGCCACAACAAGCCCCTTTGGATACATCTTCTTTGTCGAATAAAAGAAGTCAATACCTGGGGAACAGCATCAGTCACCCGGGCCTTAAATTAAGCTGGGCTGACACCGTTACATATAGCCCGACTCATCCTTGTCCAGACGCTTCGCCAAGCCAGTCGTGGCGCTTGGCGTTTCCACCTAGACACCACCAAATTTTAGAGGGATTCTATTCTTAACGCTCTAGTTTCCAGTGCTTACTGACTAGTTAAGAGGCGACGATCGGGGAAAATTCCGAATATTCAACGGTATGAGCCGTTAAAGATGGCGGTTGCCATCTAGGGCGTTTGCAGACCTCCGCTGCTCGTCCATATTGACTTGGAGGGAGAAGCCCAGCAGAGGAGAGTGAACCAAACATCAATAACTAGGCAGCCAACCTGCAGCCTACAAGCCACCCACCTGACCGTTATAGGGCTGCGATAGGCCCTTGTCGGTACTGGAGGCGCAGCAGGAAATGGGCTGAAAAGGCCAAACGCCGCCAAGACACCCACAATGGAAACTCGCCTTCAACAGCGTTGCCCGCAAAATTCCCAGATTAAGCATGTGCCACTAGGGGCGCCAGGGTGATGTTAGAGCATGATCTCACAATCAAATTGGCTGTATTTTCTAATTATTTACTAGAGGAAACATCCGCTACAATAATCCCCGGCATCACTCCAAAACAAAGAGCAGGCAGAGCCACAAGAGTTCAAAATTGTACAAGCCAAGGCTAGGCAGCATAGCCACCTCCACTTCACCCGTCCAGCTAGTTGCTGGGATCGGCGCAGGATTACCTGTGGCAACTTTAGGCAGTGACAAGATGGCATCGTTTTCTTCGAATCTCAGTGACGTGGTTGACTTGGCACAAGATCAGCTCCCGTTTGAGAGAACTTGGAGTATGTTTGTAGCAGAATGTGGCACTGTCTTTGCAGTTTGTCCGTACATGAGATATTCTAAATAATTAAATACCACCCAACCAAACTCGCAATAGCGGCGCCAAAGGAGAAGTTGCTGCATCTTCCCATCACCCCATTTGTATTTGTCTCTGCCGATGTCGAACTCGCGGCAGCTGCTACAGAAGCATCGGATGATGGCCTAGACGTCGTGGGCGTCGACTCAGAAGTCGCAGTCGCAGTCGCCGAGTCAGAAGTTGACTTGGAGTCGCTCTGCCGAGTCGTAGATGGCGCAACCGAAGTCCCGATGGAAGAGCCTGGTGATGGTTTCAGATTCTCGAATCCTGCCGTGACGGTGACGGGAGTGCGCCGCACACTGAGACCTCTCTCCGTGACCGTCGTCGTCTTGCGTATCGATTCGGTCGTCGGTCGTTGTAAAAACGCAATGTCTGTGCACACAGCGACGTCGCCCTCGTCATCAAGGGAGCACTCACGATGACTCGCCCTAGCCCAGCATCTCAATTAGGTATATGCCGATACAGGGAGCTGGGGAAACTAGGCTTACCATTGAACCACCGACTTCACGTCTGGCTGGGTAAATGTCCGCAGCGGGTCGTCGTAAATGAAGGTTGTCGGTCCGTAGGTGACGGTGCTGCCAATCATGTACTCGCCGCAGAGCGTGGTCCCGGGCGGGCACGCGAGCTTCAGAGCCGTCTTGTTCGCGTCGGCGGAGACGATTGAGCCCATGACCCCGTAAGCGAACTGGTCAGCATTGGGGAGGTAGACGCTCGCGATTGCCTGGGTGGTTGTTTTTTGCGAGTGCGCACCCGTGCAGGCCAAGAAGCCGATTACGGCGGCAAATGTGTAGCGAGCCATCATCGTAATCAGCCGCGGCAGCCCGGTTCGTTTGTTCCTCCTGGAGGTGGCGGAATATGTGTGAAGCGCTGTTCACAAAAGCTGGCGGGTCTTTTAAGCATTTAAAATACAGCACAAGGTCTTAGCGCATGCGCCTGTTCAAGCTCCCTGTCTGAAACAACGAGGATCCAGAATCCATGTTGATCAATGCACGCAGGTGATGCGTGCATTCCTATGGACAAAGATACGACGTTCCACTGGATCATGAAATAGCACCAGAGGTTTTAATTTAAAAGGAGAGGGCTCACAGCATTGAATTTACGAACACATCAGGAAGACTCAGAAGCATACTCAATGTAAATAACCTGAGGCCTTAAAGTTAGGATATCTGTACATCTAAAGATTAATTCGGCAAAGAATAAAGTCTTTCTTGCTAACAGCCGCCGGAAATTCCTCAAGCTTCTACTCAACCTAGTGTCTCTGCCTTGTTTGCTTATCGGGGTCAAAGGGTTGGAGTTGACGACAGCCATTCAAGCGATGCTTGGCCTCCGAAATCACTGATGTGATTCCTATTGTCTAAGATAATCGAATTCCCCCGGCGGCTTCCAGGTCCGCTTGGGAAATCTCAACATATCTTCGTTTGAGAGAACTCCAGTGTTGGTACCACTTTTACCGAGTTCCCGGAGGTCAGGCAGAAGACCATCCTTCAATAGATTAGGTCTGGGGGTGCTCAGCCGAAATACTCGAACTGATTCATAGCAAACTAGGCTCATCTTCCCAATTAGATGACTTAGTTCTAGTCCACACTATCGAACGGTTGCTTCATAGATCTAGCAAAGACTGTAAAATTCGGTTTAGCTCGATGAAATGGGAAACAATATGTGGAAGTGTTCGTACGCGTACCAGTTTGTGAGGACAGGGGTCGCGCCATAGCCGAGATGCTCCGGAATCAGCTAAACTTTAGTGAAAGCCAATTTCAACCATACAATACGGATCACAGGCAAGCCTTGAGGCTATCAAAGGTGCTAGACGATATAGGTATTGCACTATGTAAAAATACTATCAATTCTGTTTAGCAACGATGTGGATGCTAAGCTAGTCCGATGTAAATTGTCGAACGCTATGCAAATGAAACAAGACATGGAAAGAGATTCCAATTCCAGAGTAAAACCCTTATGACAGTTCATATGTAGTATGGAAAGTTTCCAAAGTCTGTCTTCCAGTTCGTCCTTACTTAAGATCGTGAAGCAAGTTGATGACACATTGTGTTTACTGGTGAAAACCCAAGGTCCCTTCTCTATACTAGGGAGATTTTATACAATCAAATAAGCAAAATGTCACAGAAAGGTCACGACTGGAAGCCACAATGTTAAGAAGAAATTTCAATACAACAGCCAGGCCATTGCATCGTGATATTAAATTTGTTATCCATCAAAAAATAATCATAAAGCTAAAAGAATTCTCACTTGGGGAGAAAAATGAACATCGCTCTCGTTCCTGAACATCATGACACGCCTCAAAACAGCCACTCTTTCTCAAGAGGCGCTTAGAAGAGGTCCTCAAAGGACTCTGCCTCACGTCGATGGTGGCTCAGAGACTTAGCCCTCTGGAGATGGCCGGGAGCGGGAGGAGCACGACGGTGGTGGCTGAGAGACTTGGCACGCTGCAAGTGGCCAGGCGCAGGAGGGGCGCGGCGGTGGTGGCTCAGGGACTTGGCACGCTGGAGATGACCGGGAGCGGGAGGAGCGCGCTCCTCAAGCTCTTCACGGCGGTGATGGCTCAGAGACTTAGCACGCTGCAGGTGGCCAGGTGCGGGAGGAGCACGGCGGTGGTGGCTGAGAGACTTCGCTCTCTGGAGGTGACCAGGTGCAGGAGGGGCACGCTCCTCAAGCTCATCACGGCGGTGGTGACTAAGAGATTTGGCTCTTTGGAGATGGCCAGGTGCAGGAGGAGCACGGCGATGGTGGCTCAGTGACTTTGCCCTCTGGAGGTGGCCGGGTGCAGGAGGAGCACGCTCCTCGAGTTCATCGCGACGGTGGTGACTAAGAGACTTAGCCCGCTGCAGGTGGCCGGGTGCGGGAGGGGCACGGCGGTGGTGACTGAGAGACTTGGCTCTCTGGAGATGGCCAGGTGCAGGAGGAGCACGACGGTGGTGGCTAAGAGACTTAGCACGCTGGAGGTGGCCAGGTGCGGGAGGAGCACGCTCCTCAAGCATCTCCTCATCACGGCGGTCGTGTCGCAGCGGCCTGAACCCCCGAGGAGGACCAGGCTGAGGCACAGGAGGGCCCCGAATGTCCAGGTCTTGATCGTTGAGGGAGATGTCACGAGTCTCGACCAGGTTAGAAACGGGCATAGCGACTGCCACGCTGGCGACACCCAAAAGGATGGCCGAGAGATTCTTGATAGCAACCATGATTGCGGATTGAAACCAACCAAATGAATACAGGGGGAAAAACGAGGTTGGTAAAAGGTTGATGGGAAAACAAATCCTATGAGACCAGCTCAAAGGGGCAAAGAAGTGAATTGAGAAGAAAGGAAAAGAGAAAAAGAAAAGGCTGAACGATGTTGTTGAGAATGATTCTGAGCAGAGAAGGTGGACGGAGGGCTGCCTTGATATACTTTGTTCAAGGCTGCCACCCCGGCATCGTCGCGGAGCTCGTAAATCCTTCCTTGAAGATACGTACAGTAGTAGTCCGAGGATGTGGTCCCAATGGCAGTTGGAAATTGCGTAATTGCGTAGGGCCGGAGATCTGCTGCTCCGTTCCCTGTTGCTGTTGACCAGCTAGCCCGTTCCTTCACGGTCACGGTGAGACATCGGATCATGGCGAATGACACCGCTCGCTTGTTAGCACCTAGACCAACACCAACTCTGGGGACATCCTCTTGCTCAGGGGTTTCTTTGGGCCTCTGTGGAGGCTGGATCCGTCCTCACACACTAGAGGAATCAGACCCCAGATAGCGACACTATTAATAAAAAATGCAATCGGTTTCGCGGAGGCTTTCCCAGATCCAGTCATCTCACGAAATGCTTTCAGGAATCTACAGGCATCTCCTTATCCAGTGTTTCATGGTTCGTGTCATTGCAACGACAGTGTATTCCTGATAGCAATTCACACAGTCGTTGGTGCTGATCTGTTCCTTTGCTACACGCTGACGTCCTGGTGAGCCCGGATGAAACCCCCTGCCGTAAGGTAATAGCAGTTGACGCGTCAGGGCCCCGCAATGTAAAAAGATCAAAGCACCAAAAGACAGGCTTCATCTACCGAAGTCTCTATATCTGGATTGCCGCGCGGCACACGACACCTCAACCATGTGACCAAAACCGTCGAGCTGTCAACTATGATCCATGGAAGCTGATTGAGGACAGATAGGAGAGTATGCGGAGCTCTAAGGTAAGCTCCTCGTTGCAGTCACTCGGTCTTGGCTTTTTAGCTGGTCAATCGATCCTCATACTCTTTCTCGAGGAAATTCATCTCTGTTCATGATGTCCTAATAATTCTATTTTAATCCGTAGTGAATACTTGTATACCCATTTGACGAATATCATTTCCTCTTCAGTCCTTCAAACTGGCGTTGTATCATTTATTCTTGTACTTATTAAATGAGTGATGTTCTAGTAGGTGCCGTAATGTGAGCGTTTAAGCGAGCTGACTTTTAGCTGCCAAACCACCAGTCGTACTCACTTCCTCACCTAAAACAACTACTTAAAAAATGCCACTGAGAACATACCCCAAATCTACCATTGCAACAGCTTCTCTGCGGTGAATATCATCCCAGATGTCAAAGCATGATACCGAGCAAGGCAAAGGAGTAGGGTGTAGGGTAGGCTGTTTACTTGGGACGCGTGTTGAAGGGCTGAAGTCTCCACTTACCGTGTTGAGGTAATTGGCCGTCTTGGCCGCCCGCTTTTCCACTTTTTCTAAGAGAGACCCTCATACTGCTTTCTGGGAAATAAAGTGAGGAAAAGTGGGCAGCCAATGTTGAGATAATACGAGAGAAGCTGTCCGTCTTGCCTCGGCATGAATCTGACATGCGTCTGAAGGCCACATCATAACAATGACCGTGAAGACGGCTACGGTTTCTTCAAAGAATCAGCATAACAAGACGGCCAGATATCAATATTGTGAAATATATGAATGCCTATCCCATTGCGCTACTTCCAACAAGAGGGCCTGCCAAAAAGTTTTAATTAGCTACCTCATCGGCACTTGCTCATTTCATCTGCCTTCGGTACCCATCCAATTGTCTTCGGTCCCGGTGCAGGGGCAGGGATGGCACCATCCCCCTTCGCTATCAACTACCTACGTAACGTATTTTGATCTACCGTTATGGTAATAATAATAGTAAACATATTTACTTCCCTTTTAGGTAGTCATCTGCCTCTGCCATTTCATCGCTACCTTGAGCTCAGACTTCACGAAAATACTAGCAGCCCATTCAACATAAGAGGACTTTTACGAAGATTCTTACGGTAGGTGAGCTAATGGAAGGTATAAATTCTTGAATCACTCAAAGAACTAAAAGGTACATGCGATTCCCCCCTCTCAATCTCTCCGCCTCTTCCTTTCATATTGCCAAAGCCCTACGACACTGGTCTCTCAGTAAGCAAGCACTACAAGATTCTATTGCCTTTATGACTCCACGCAGTTACATGCCCCCATTGCGCTGATGCCCGTTTGGTTCTCCAAGAGCCGCTGGCCCTAGCGGGTTTGCTGCGAATTGCCCTAATGTCTTGGAAGCATCAGTGGCCATGAACTGAATGGCTTGTTCAAGCTGACTTGCAAGCTCTTCTTCCTGTGTGGAACTCAAATGAGTAGAGTTGAAATGGATGGTAAAGCGGACACTTGAGGAAGAAAGGAGGCATTCAACTGTCAATGGCTGGCCAAAGGATTCCTGAGTCTCAGCGGAGCCATCATCTTCGACGACAGGCGACATCACGTCCGACCCATCATATATATCTGCCAATTCGCTGGATGACTCGACCTTGAATATGCTTGAGAATGAAACAGCATCCTGGCCATCGCCCCCAAGCTTCATTATATTTGGGAGGCCGAAGTGCTGATACGGGATCATCTCGGTAGCTTGCTTTTGCACGAGTTCAAGGAAGGTACCAGCAGACGCGCTGCGATCAATACTTAAACGGAATGGCAAAATCGTAGAGACCGGGCCGGTAATGTCACGAACATCTGAGACTGGAGCATCTCGTCCAGTGAAAGACGTACCGAAACAGATATCATCTGTGCCACAGTGGTGAGCAAGCAACAGCGCCCACGAAGATCTTGCCAATGTCGAGGGCGACATTGAAGTTTGATCCGACTTGGGGAGATCAACAGATCTGGTTATTTTTCCAACGCCCTTTGACAAGCCCTGACTTGGAGATGGGAACGCAGCGGCTTTGGCGCCTTTCAGCTGGTTCTGCCAGTATTTTCCGGCAGCCTCACGGTCTTGAGTCTCAAGGTACTGAATGAAGTATCCGAAATCTCGGACGTTGGGGACTTTACTTCGATCATAATGATGTGCAAGTGTTCTGAGTATAAGACGTATCGTCCACTCATCATGGATGGCTTGGTGGGAAGTCAGAACGAACAGTGATTCCCCAGAAGGCTGCTGTATCAACGCCCAGCGATTCAATCTTGAGCCATAGGACATTTCCATATCATCAGCTTGGGTGATGTAATCCTCCAAATCCATGTTCTTGGTAACTTCCCAAGCGACATCAAAAGCCACAACAACTTGCATCATAGTTCCAGAGACTTCGACGATGCGCGTTCGCAGGATGGGGCAGGACCCCACGGTCTTGACCCATGCATGACGGAACCTTTTGATGTTGACCTCCTCGGATAACCTGTATATCCACCTGGAGATGAAGGGTTCTGGGTTTTCATTGGACAGTGACATTACATGCTCTTGGGTGGATGTTGCAGGCATCGCGTTCTCGATTACTTGACTCCCTGATAGGTCGCAAATGTCTCCAACTTCCACGTCCCAGTCCAGGTCCTGAAATTCTGCGGGAACTAAATCAAACGGTTCTAATTGCCGCTCTTCATTGTCGTCTTCATTTATGAGTATCTCGATTGCCCGAGACGCTACAGTGGAAAGCCTGGGATCTTCGAAAATTTGGATAACGGTGAGTTCAATCCCGACCTCCCGAGCAGCTGCGACCAGGTGGATTGCGGTGATTGAATCGCCCCCAAGCTGCAAGAAGTTGTCGTCGCGGCCGATTGACTCTGCAGATAACCCCAGGATTGATGCCCACAGGGCCTGGATACGAGTCTCCATGGGGGTTTCAGGTGCTCGCTTCTCGGTGTTGGTTAGCGAGTAGTGATGTAGCTGCTCTACAGACAACTTGGCGGTTTGTTCTTGCAGCGCCTTTCGATTCAGCTTTGATGAGGCGCTGATGGGCATGAATTCGCATGGTATGAAGATTGAGGGGACCATGTAGGCAGGAAGATGAAGCCTGAGCTTGCCTAGCAGTTCTAAGAGTTGAAGTTTGAGATTAGGTGAGATAGTCTGGAACATAGAATCCAGATCACTTGTACCAGTCCGTCTTGCGTCAGAAAAGGAAAAGTAGGCAACTATGTTTGTCGCTTCTGCGCTCCGTAGTACATCAACAGCTACCTGTGAAACTCCGCCGAGCTCAGACAGTATATGATGTTCTATTTCTCCCAGCTCAACGCGAAGACCTCTGATTTTGACCTGGGTATCCTTTCGGCTGACAAAATGCATTGTGCCGTCTGGATTATACGAGGCCAGGTCGCCGGACAGGAAAGCGCGCTTGAAACGGGACCCTTGACCTGTCATTGCCCAAGAGGGTAGGTCTTCAACAACCGAGGCCTTTGTTTTCTCGACATCATTGAGGTATTCACGAATGATGGTAGGACCTTGGATTAGAACCTCACCCACAGTGCCGATGGGAGCCAGTTCTCTCGGGTTCGTAGGGTCGACAATCCAGCAGCGGGAACTAACCGGATACCCGATGGTTGCAGGCGCTTCATGAGAACTCTGATACTCGTGGATACTGCTGGCGAAACATGTTTCTCCGGGCCCCCAGAAGTTTATCAAGCGTACCCTTCCGTGCCATTGGTCCAGAAGATCTTGCGGCACAGTTTCGCCGCCCAGACCGAGAGTTTCGAGGGAAGGGACTTGCTCTGGTCGTATGGTACGAGCAAATGCTGGGCTGACAAGAGCACAATTCACACCGGCGTCTCGTATGAACTTTTGAACGTTGTTGAGCCTCATCTCGTCGGAAGGAATACAAATACATGCTCCACTGTACAGCGCTTGGAAGAGCTCACCGATTGAGAAGTCAAAGGCGAAATTGGCGAATTGAAGCACTCGATCCCCAGGCTTAAAGCAGATACGTTCTGAGATCCCGTGCTGGGCTGACGACAAAGAGCCGTGTTCCATGATGAA